CAGGGGTTTTCCCTACACAAGCGGCGTCCCAAGTTTGGGAAACACTGACTTACAGATAGGATTCTTTATCAGATAGAATCTCTCAGTGCTGATATGCTATAACCTGGGACAGTTTTATGTTGGACAGCTGTCGTTTCCATGTTCATTCAGAACAGCAGAACCATGGTCTTGGGACCAGTAGGCTCTAGACACTAGCTAAATAACAGGTGGAAACAATATACCAGTGAGAAAGCAGATGTAAAGTTTGATTGCCCATTTGAGACATCCATTGTCATGGTGATTCTCTGAGCTTTACATTACTAATTTATTAAGCTAATAGCATGTTTCTTTATAACACACACGAATAAAGATTTCTCCAGTAGGGCAATGAAGCGCACACAACCAACAAGAAGAGCTCACATTTCGGATAACGTTTACCTCTGTGGCAGTCCATAGTGCACTCTGAACTTTTAACTGGCAGCATAACTTCATTCCTGGGCAGCTCATTCTCTCCACTTCTATGAGTCCTTTCTCTGTATTTACCACCGTGTAGTTTCTGAAAGGAGCAAATGTAATTTGTTATTGCAACGGTGCCAACAGTAAAACAGCATTAGCAAGTATTTGCAATTAATGTGTTTACACTGTACAATTTGGAGATCACCTAGTATTTTTGGCCAGATCATGCATACTGTCAGCTCCTTAGCTACCCATCATCCTGCAGATGTATAAAATGCTCTTAAATTTTTTTTGGGGAGAGGAAAGTATATCATAAAGGGAAAAAAATTCAGGCACTTAAAAGCTCTTTCTGCTATTAACTGTTTGCTAAGTGTACTCCAACTGTTGTCTTGTTACTCTGATTATTTTGCTGGCTAAATGAAAGAAGTGACACATCAAGAAAGGATGAAGGCCCTTGAGGTGGTAACATAATTTTTAAAAATTTGATTAATGAATATTTTTGTGAATAAAAGCACTATGTTTGTTTCACCATGATTCACTCTGATTTTATATGAGTATTTAAACAAACCCTGGGTATTCAAAAATGGGTATATGAATCCCAGAAGTTGCAACTATTTTAGCACAAGTAGTTATAAGTTCTGAAATGTGTACGAGATGTGCATAACTTGTTACTCTCCTGTCTAAAATGATTTAGTTATCCAATCAGGGAGCAGAAATAATAATGTATGGCTTAAGTAATCAACCAAATGCTATGAATGGCAAATAGTGAAAGCAAGAAAGAATAGAAAAGGATAAAAATAAACCCTCTACCTGGTGTCTTCCTTCCCATCCCAGAATACCACAGTGTATTCTTGGCCTTGGGAAGAAAAGAAGGAAGACTGCTTCCCACAACACAGCAGGTACATGAAAGTAGAAAACGTAGGATCTTTCATCTGTCCTACAACAGAAATGGCCAATGGACGCTGAGAAAAAAAAAAGTACATACGCTGAATAGTGTGTACACAGCAGAGATTCTTTTGCAGGTCAAGAATAAACAATACATTCATAATAATCACTATTTATTACATCTATAGTTCCATAGGCTGGGGAGCTCAAAAGAACCTAAGGGTGCCCAAATCTGCACCAAATCCCTTAAACTTCTTTCAAAATCCTGTCCCATAGGTGCTCCCTGAGCTTTGCATTTCAGTGTAAAACCAACATAAATTACAAGAATCAAGGCCGATCCCTCTCCTTCCACCCCTCTCTCATTAGGATTTTATCTATGAACCTCTTGTGCTTTGAAAATTTAGGGAAGAGAGCCACACTCATCACAGAGTATAAGTGTTTGTAACTCAAAGCTCTGCCTGGCTCTTACGTGAAGGACTGTGGCTCCAAACATGCAAAATGATTAAAGAAAGATATAGTACAGTGTAATCGCCTTTTGTATTTGAAACCCTTTCCTGTCCCCATGGTGCCTTTTTTTCAAAGCTCCTGAATTCCTTATAGATGTATTCACAGCATGACACATCAGTGGTTTTTAGTAATCAAGGGTGGAATCTTGCCCCACTGAAGTCAATGAGAGTTTTGCCGTTGACTTCAATAGGCCATGATTTCACCTTAAGGGTAAGCATACCGTTGCTCCATTCATGGAACCCAAACTGAAGTCAATGGAAGTCAAGGGCCCAATCACTAGCAGGTGTAAACGGGTCGAGCTCCTCCACTGATGTCAGCGGAGCAGTGCCCATTGATACCAGCTGAGGATCTAGCCCTTAGCATGTAGAGGGGGGCTGCCCCGGTAACAAGCAGTAGATAAATGGTCAAAAAGCATCAATTGTCAGGCCCCTCTTGTACCTTTTCTGGCTTAGTGTCCCAACATTCCATCATGAGCGTCTGCATTCTGTGGAACTGCACTTCCCCCGGCTGCCCCAGAATGGGCCGGATCCCTTTAGACAGCTTCTTCGCAATCTGAAGCTGATGTTGTCCGAGCACAGGCCGCTGTCCAGACAATAGTTCATATAGGACCATTCCATAGGAGAACATGTCCACCTAAGGCAAATATCACACAGTTAAGCAGTTAGCTGCCTCCATAGATGTGGTACGGCTATTTCTTTGGAAGGGAGTTTTATTGTATTGCTAGAATTTGGGATAACATTGACAGCAGTGATGGAAACCAAACAATACATAAACAAGCATTAAGAGGTAATAAAATAAGATCAGCAGCACATTCAACATATGCATGGAAGGTGAAATGCACCCCTGTGCAGTGGGCCAGGCTTATGCATCTCTTAAGTGCTGCATAGCCCTTCGGCTGGCTCGTATGCACGGGGTTAATTTCTTCTAGAAAGAATGAATGGACCTAAGCGAACAATCCAAATCACTTTGTTCCCAGCAAGGAATCTTCCATGGCACATACAATCAGTGTTATGAATAAGGAGTCCAGTTTGCATGTGCCTTGCTCATATCGTGAGGATAGTTAACACAACACCACCACACTTAGTTTCTTCATCAGTGATTCCATTAAATCGGGTCTCTTTGCAAAAGTGCGTGTCTCAAGTTAAGATTCCTAAATCCAGTTAGGCACCTAAATAATGGTCTGATTTTTTAGAGGTGCTGAGTACCTGCAGCTCCCACTGAAGAGAATTTGTTGTTGGGCACCTCTGAAAATCAAGCTATTTACCTAGGTGCCTAAATATGTATTCAGGAGCACAACTTTAGGCACCCACTTTTGAAAACCTTGGCTTTAGTCAGCACATGTGATAAAACTCCACGAAGGGCCTTGATGAGCAGCTTTTTCATTGGATTATAGATGAGAATTGTGCCACTCCAATGGAAATTTCGGAGTTACCTTTTCATCGTAGACTATTCGAGGCCTAATCTCTGGGGCTTGGTATCCAGGAGTGCCTTCCACTCCAAGAGCTCCTTCATGGAATGACTGCCGAGAAATCCCATAGTCAGACAGTTTGATGTTGACATGCTCTTTAATGTCCAGGGACCACACTAAAATATTGTCTGACTTTAGGTCACAGAATATGATGTTCTTCTTATGCAGGTAGGCAAGGCCCGTTGCAATCTGATATGCTATTTTCTGGGTCAGCATATGCCCCAGTGGCACAAAGGAAGCCCCTGCTATAAAGGAAAAACGCTGTGTTCAGTAGAGCAAACTTTCATAAGGATGACAGTTCTTGTCATTTTAATCTGACCTAGTGTAAACAATCTACCTGTTAAAATGTCACTCTGAATGGGATTATCTGAAGGGGCACCATTCACTTTACTTTAGACAGAACTCTGTCAGGTTTTTTTAACCCCTTAATTTCAGCGGTTCATAACGCTCCCATAAAAATTAATGTTGGGCTGAAACTAGACAAAGTGCTGATATGCAGACAGGGCCAAGTTATTAAAGGGGCCTCATCCCAGTTCTGGATTTTACACCATTAATTTAACAGCAGCAAAATTACAGGTACATAGGATAGCATTTAGATCTCTAAATACCTGATTTGCACGGGGGAAATTGCACATGCAGAATTAAAATGATATTTGGATACCCAATCCCCATTAATTTTAAGGGGAACTGGGCATACACATTTCTTACACAGTTTTGAAAAGCTCAGCCTTATTGGCAGTTTTCATGAGACCCCACCAAAGTCCCAACTTGAGAGAAATTCCATCACTGCCCACCGAACTTGGAAAAAACATTATTTCCTTCTACCGCTCAAAAAATAGCTTCAGTGTTGGAGGCCATTTGCTCACACTGTGACATGGGGATTTCATTATTTTCAGGGAGCAGGTCTGGGGCTGTTACCTTTGGACTTTCCAGATAACACAGTCGTGAGGCTGCCCAAGGGGGCCAACTCTAAGGCAAAGCAGAGAGGATGGATGCTAATCCCAATCAAGGAAACGATGCAGGGGTGTTGCAAGGAGTGGAGCATGCTGGCTTCCTGACGGAATTCTGAGAAGTTCTTCATGGCGTCCATAGCTCGCAAGTGCTTCAGCATGGTATCTAGCAAAACACACAGGCCTCTTTTCACTTCAGCACATGGCATTGCAATAGGTGAACCAAGCAATGCGGCTTTAGCAGTTTTCCTTGAAAGCTAAAATTGTTTATAGGATTTTAAGAGCTGAGAAAACTACTGTAGGAAACAAACAATGTCCTTGCTTATTCTGATTATGGTGCTTTGGGCCATCCCCTCCTTAGCATGAGCTGCTAATAGGCATTATTGCTACTGTCAGTGGGAGTTACACGAGTGCATTAGGAAGCAACTGGGGGTGAGATTTTTTGACTTAGGAGTGTAAGACCCACTGAAAGTCGGTGGGACTTTTGTTCTTCCATAACATAAGTGATTTTGAAAATCCTTTCCTATTCTCTTTAGAGCAGGGAGTCAGCAATTCATAAGCAGCATGTTACTATTATATAAAACTTCCAGCGCAAGAGACTCGCCCCCTCTGACTGCAACCCCAGCACAGGAGCCGTGCACAAGAACAGTCCTCGTGCTAAGGGAAAGCAGAGGCCATTCATGGCTAGCCTTGCTGTTAGCGCTTGCCATTGGTGCAGTAGCTGTGCTCCTCCACAGCTCATGGAGGCACTGTATGCTTCCCCTTTAAAACCAGAAGTGAGGACAGTGAGATGCTCTCTTCCAGTCTCCAAGGCTGTGGAATAGCCTCCCAAGGGCAATGAGGGAAGCCCCATGACTTGTGATCTAAAACTAAACTGGCCAAAGTACTGGTAGACTCACCATATTAGCCCCCATGGGATTGACCGGATGATCTAACTGACCTTTCCTGTGTTTAACTTCTAGGACTCGCTATCAGTCCCAGTGAAGGGAGCACCTCAGAGAAGACCAGCTTTCAGAAGGTATGAAGATTGAGTTAATAGTAGTAGTAGTAGTAATATTTGTATTATGGTAGAGGTCCCAATTAAGCCGAGTGCTAGGTGCTGTACAGACACATGAGAGACAGTCCCTGCCCCAAAAAGCTAAGTAGAAAAGACACAGGAAGTATCATCACCCCCATTTTACAGGTGGAGAACTGAGGTACAGATTGATTAAATGACTTGGCCAAGGTCACAGCTGGAAACTGAACCCAGATCTCTGGAGTCCCAGTCAAGTGTCTTGTCCACGCAACCACCTCTCTACAGCCAGACGGCTCAGGTTATGAGAGTCACGAGGAAGATGGAAGCGGGGTGATTTTGTCTTCTCCCTCAAACTGAGGCTCCACCTTGTCAGAGCTCCCAGCCCCCTGGTGGCCAGCACGTGAGGTTTCACATCAAATCGGAGAATGCAACTCGAACCCCCAGTGCGGAAGTGCATTGTGTGCCAATGACCGCCAGCTGGCCTCAGTTCTCCATTTCTTATGCGTGTTTTCATAGGGTAAGCCTACACTGCACAAAACCTCTGCAGCAGCATGTCTCAGAGCCCAGGTCAGCTGACTCGGGCTTGCGCTGTGGGGCTAGAAATCGCAGTGTAGGCATTCAGGCTCAGGCTGGAGCCTGGGCTCCCAGACCCTCCCTCCTCCCCAGGTTTCAGAGACCAGGCTCTGGCCCAAGCAGGAACATCTACACTGCTATTATTAGCCTCCGAACGAAAGCCCCATGACTCCAAGTCAACTGACCCGAGCGCCGAGATTTGCTGCTATAGGGTTGTTGTTGTTTTTTGCTGCAGAGATGTACCCAAAAAGGCTTTTTTCAAATACATCAATCTTCCTTCCCTTACAAGTTTTGCTGTATATTGGGAAGCTGTATTTAAATAGGTGCTGCTAGCCCTTAGCAGACTGAAGACAATTCAATCATAACTCGTAAACTCATTACGGACAGAGCAGATTTAAAAACATACCCCCCCCACACACACACGCGCATTCTGTGCACTGTACCTGTAGCCGAATTAGGAGAACTCTTGCATTTCTTAATCTGATATCTCTTCACTGCCACTGGTTTTCCTTGGTATTTTGCCTGATATATAATGGTTCCACTTCCACCCTGGCCAAGAACATTGTTTTCATTTTCACTGTATTCTAGTTTACTATTTTCCAGAAATAGTCTGCCAGTAATGTAAAAAAAAAAAAAATGTTTAAAGGAACCGTCATTTGTACATTTAATCTGATTTTTTTCACACTTTTAAAAAGATTTTCATTTCAATAAAAGGTTCCCACTGCGAGGATGAGACTGTAAAAGTCACTTCGTTGTCCTTAGATATTTTGCATGCCGGTACACTTTGCACATTTTTCTCACAGGAAGAGCGACGTGGGCAAACCTGCAAAATGGGCTGTCCACTGAGTCGAACATATCTCATCGGAAACCAACAAGATCCCAAAAGGCATCAAGGTGCCAAACTCCGTTTCTAGGCTGATGATGTCAATCCAGCTGATATGGACAATGTGTGGCCAGTTTAATAGGTTTTTACTTCCTTTGCCTTCCAGCGGGACTTGGCTGTGCTCTGAAATCTGATTATTCTAACCAGCCTGCTGGTACCACGCTGCAATTCATCATTTCCCCACCCTTCCCAAGACAGCTTTTACAGCCACTCTGACATCAAACATTTCCACTTTCCTTCTTGTATTAGTCAAATAAAACTCTAACAAATGACACCCCTGATGAGGGCCCACATGCCGCCGTGTTGGCGAGTTTATCCAGAATGATCCATTAAAACTACCTGGAGAAAGGAACGCCTGCTGTTAAAATGATTTATTTGATGGGCATACACGACTCAGAGCAAATGTTGGGAGCTCAGGGAGCAGCTGGTTAGAGCCCTCAGAGCTCTGCACCATGTCCAATCATAGGCACCGACCCCGTGGGTGCTCCGGGGCTGGAGCACCCACAAGGAAAAATTGGTGAGCACCCACTGGCAGCTCCCCGCCTCAGCTCACCTCCGCCTCCTCCTCTGAGCGCGCCACTTCTCCCCCTAGCTCCCAGTGCTTCCCGCCACAGCAGCAGCAAGCGCTGGGAGGGAGGGGGCAGGGCGGGGAAGGCAGCATGCTTGGGGAAGAGGAGGGGCTGGGTGGGGATTTGGGGAAGGAGTCCAATAGGGGCAGGGAGGGGGCGGAGTTGGGGTGGGGACTTTGGGGAAGGGGTTGGAATGGGGGCAGGCAGGGGCAGGGCATGGGTGGAGTTGGGGCCGGGTCAGCGGGGCGCGAGCTCCCACGGGTGCCGGGAAAAGTTGGCGCCTATGTGCCCAATAGAAAGATCTGAGTCATACAGACAGCATGAGCTGTAAAGGACACAGGACTGCTGTCTAAGTGCCCAGATGTCCTTATGAAGGACCTCCACACATTTTATACTCTAATTCAGTGTTTCCCAAACTTGGGACGCCGCTTGTTTAGGGAAAGCCCCTGGCGGGCCGGGCCGGTTTGTTTACCTGCCGCGTCCGCAGGTTTGGCCAATCGTGGCTCCCAGTGGCTGAGGTTCGCTGCTCCAGGCCAATGGGAGCCGCTGGAAGCGGCAGCCAGTACGTCCCTCGGCCCGCGCCGCTTCCCGCAGCTCCCATTGGCCTGGAGCAGCGAACCGCGGCTAGTGGGAGCCGCGATCGGCTGGACCTGCGGACGCGGAAGGTAAACAAACCGGCCCGGCCCGCCAGGGGCTTTCCCTACACAAGCGGTGTCCCAAGTTTGGGAAACACTGCTCTAATTAGTAAGAGTGGATTCTTTACCCTCTGGAGCCCACTGCGTGCCTGTCTTATACACATCACACATATGGGGTCATTTATCATCAGAGCCAGGCACAATGTTTGCACTGGGAGCAGGTGACTGACGGCTGCTTACAGGCTTGATGAAAAGGCAAAATTCAGCTCAGTTTCATCAAAAGGGTCAGTGCAAACATGTCAAGGGCTGGTTAGAGGTTCCACGTCAAATCCAGGTGAAACTTCATGGCTCTGGCTCAATGTGCTTTGAGTAGGTGTGTTCACTTATACCCAAAACTGAGCTGCATGAACCAAAAGCAAATGTTACACAACAGGTGCAATGCGAAAGATAGAATCTTAGTTATATGAAACTCTTATCGATTTAATCTAAGCGTGGGAATAAAAATGTCGACTTTTCCCTTAAACCTGATCCTAGATTGTGACTCTTCCCCCCACCCTCCTTATAAAGCATATAATAGCCTTGATGAAGACATCCAAGGTCATGTATGTCAGACTGGACACAAAAAGGGCTCCTGACTTTCTTCATAGGTTGATTGTCCTCAACAATCTTTCAGGTTCTCCTTGTGCCTCATAGGTCAGAGCGTCTCAACCACAGTATTGTCAATGAAATGGGTTCCTGTGAGTGAGTCAGGTGCCCAGCTCCTTTACTGGAGACGTCCAGAAAAATAAACACTTCATCTCACAGCATATGGAAACCTAATTTCTTTCATTATTGAGAGGGCCTCAAAAATCAAAATGAAATGGGTTCCTTCAGCCTGCCCTCTGACTCTGTAGTAGGTTACGGCAAGCCCTCCTTTTCTTGTATGTGCTTTGGTACACAATGCATCAAACACTGGTTAAAAATTAGTGTGCAACTTGGAATGGCCTTTGAGTCCAAAAGAAAGGTCTGTCAGACAGGCAGACAGAGCTGCATTTATAGAAAATCATATGGAATGCTTATCTAGTCCCTAACTTGGATCTGCAAAACCTTTTGATCCAACCCCACACTCTCCTGGTGACCTCCCTGACGAGCTTGGGAGAGAAACTTGCCTATCCGCTAATCCTTTGGGAGATTTTCTTTCTTGCCTTCAATGCCCCAACACAGGGAGTGAGTAGGAATGGGTTAGGGTTTGGTTCAGAGGGGATGAAGAGCATGAGGAAAAGGATAAAGATTTAGACTTATGGTTGGGTAGAAACAGCAGAGGAATTGGGAAGAAGCAATAAACCAGAAACCACAGGACATATATGAAGGGGATAAAGGCCTTTACCAAATCATTCAGATTCACTTAAGGGCACGAGGAAAAAAAATTGTGCCAGTGTTCTTTTCTTTTCTTAAAGCATCAGTTCTCCCAGCCTCATTCATTATTAGGTTTGTAAAATGCATTAGTCACTGTGGAATAGGCTCCATTACTCAGAGGATTGAAGTTTTCCTGAAGTAATGGGAAAAGTAACCTAGAATAGCTTTTAGGGGACCAAGGTCTAGGATTTTGGTCTCTGTGTAAACTTCAGGAAATATCATCACTTCCTAGAGCAGATTTGATCTGATGCCCACTTTCTGCTGGGTCAAATATGCTTTCAACAGCAAAAGTGCTTTAATTTTCTCAAGGAAGGAAACTGTGCTATCCAAACCAATGACAGGATACAGGATTCAATCCTCCTAGAAAAGTAGTTAAATAGTTTAAAGTTTCTGTCTGGGGCAGCACAGCCTTCTATAGAATACAGGGCTTCCCGCCGAGGAGCAAAAGTCTCTCTGATTCGCAGCCAAAGCCCCTGAATCTGCTGCGGACGCTGCATGTCCTATATCATCTCATAAGAGCAGAAACTGCAAACTGAGCAAGTGTCACCACGAAGGGACGTTTGTAATTGTTCACCGGGAAGGGTCTGAAGAAATTCATTGTATATAGGCTGTGTAAGGGCTAGAGGTTGAAGTTAACCCATTTCAGTAACCCGCTCATGGCTTCCGAATTAAAACCCCAGCTCTGAACAAATCCAAATTTGAATCCAAGTCTGAACCCTGTGGCTGATCCCCAAATCAAAACATCCCCAAATCATATGGACGTTCAAATGCAGATCTGGACGGGCACTTTGCAGCACTCTATATTGTTAGTGCCCTATTAAAAATCTCCTGAAAGAGACATATTGCACCAACCCCTGGCCAGAATATGTTACCAGGGACAGTAGAGAACAGGGTCACTTTTTAAAAAGCGACTTTCACATCGTACCACAGGAATCTCAGGAGACTTTACAAGGCGATGAGTCAGATACAGACAGTGCACTGTGACTTTGTAAGCAAATGTAATGACTATGTAGGCGGATATAGGCTAGGATACAATGACATGGCTGGGAGTCATGGGTAGATGAATTTGCCTTCACATCAAGGGTCAATATGAACCTCCAGTGGTAGTGAACTAGAAGAAATGCAAACTGAATTATTCATAGAAATTTTGAAGTCCAATCAATGACTGTCAAGTAACATTACCTGGCAGGAAAATCTGTCATGAAGAGCTCTGGGACCAGCTCTTGTAGAGGAACTGGGATGTTAGGATGACTAGGACATGTGATACAATCCAGTTCTATAGCAGTCAGAACACAATCCTCCATGTTAAAGTACTGCTCATCTTCCGGTTTATCAGGCGGCTCATTCTCCTGTGTCCTAGAAGTTGCACAGATGTGGCATGGGACATACTGTTCCATTAGCAAAGTCCCATCACTCTCCGTGGCCGTCAGTGCTAAAAATGTTAAAAAAGTGATATTGAACAGCAATGTCCAATACATTCAAATATTTACCTCTTCTGCATGAAATCAGTGCTTGAGAAGTCCCATGTAAGTCTCATGTAATTCCTCACTTGACTCCCACTCTTTCAAAACTGGTGATAGTGGCTCCTCTAGTTTACCAACTGTGATAAAAAGTAGCTATTTGCCAAATACACAAAGGCAGCAAGGACAGGGTTGGATAGATACATGCTCCAGACTGTTGAGATAACTCAAGAGGCCTGGCAGTTTTTCATTTAGGTATCAGGAATAAGTAACATGCAGGGCGTGCAAGTAATACAGTTTCAGCCCAATAGAAATTTAAAAGTTCATGGATAGGAAAAGCCTTCTTATGAAGCAATTCTCCATGGCTTTAGTTAGCTACACTTCAGAAAGATGGAGTCCATTGCAATGACTAGAAAGGCACAAGTATGTCTGTCCCTTTAAAACAAAGAGGGAGAGAAAACTGGCAGAGCTCCTTCCTCTTTCTGACACTGCTTTAGCCCGAATCAAGCAGACAAGGAATCAGAGACACAGCACCCGGGGGTCATGGGCCAAAGTGGTCTTTCGTTTGACAGAATCTATCGTAAATCTTACTTTAGAGCGGGGATTCTGAACCTGTGAGTTAGAGGGTTGTGACCAGCCACAATCTCAGGCAGTGATACTCAGACCTCAGTGGTTCAGGAGCCAAATTAGCAATCAACATTATCCAAAAGAGCCACAGGAGTGTGAAGTCATTGTTTCATTTGCTATATTATTATATATTCCTATTTAAACAGCATGACAGGGGAAATTTTTAGTATATATAGTTCTGTGGCTACCAGTGTGAAAACGAATGATAATAATTCCTCCTTAGACAACTAGAGGCACAGGACAGGGACACTAGACATGTGCAATGTAAGTTTTAGAAATGGGTCAACGAGTCTTGCTGGATGGACTATTGGTTTGTCTTTTTACCCAAATGGCCCATTGGCTGGCATCTTCTGCTTGTATCTATATTGCTAATCATCACTCCATGTCCGAATATGCTTCTTTGGGATTATGGCTCTGCTCAGTCTTCAAGGATTAAAAAAAATACCAATCCAAACTCAAATGAAAGTCTTATTTTTTTCCTTTTCAGAGTGATCTCAGATAAAATAGAAAAGCAGAGTGGATATAGGACAACTCGCAGCACTATTTTCGGATGAAGATCTCAGATCAATACATGCCAACACTTATCTCTAAAGCAGCATGCGGTGACCTGGAATACAGCACATCGTTTTATAATCAAAATCTATTTGTGGATTACAAACATCACTTGGGGAGACTGTGGGCCTGATTCTGATTTCCCTTATGGTGTAAATCAGGAGTAACGCCATTAAAGTCAATAGAGTTACACTACTATAAAACTAGCACAAGGGGCTCAGACACACTGATTTAACTTACCTAAGCAGTATGGACCTGACGCTGCTTCCACTAAATTCAATGGAGGATCTGGTCACTGACTTCTACAGGAGCAGGTTTGGACCCTGTTTGCTTTTAGGATTGGTCGCTCTGGATACAATGCTCACACCACATGGTGTCAGTAAAGATTTGAATTATATTGCATTGAATCTGCTGTTGCCTCTAGATTGTAAAATCCTTGGAGCAGGGACCTATTCTGAGGGGTTTTAGCACTCTTCATCTATTGCATAACATTGTGCACACTGACAGCACCATCAAGGAATAATTTCCAAAAAAGAGTGTTGAAATATAACAATGTACAGAATGCTACAGTTGTTCTTCTTACCTGGAAACCACTGATCTATCAAGGAGTTGACATGATCTGTGATGAAAGCCATTGCTGAAAAATCTCTCGCTTCTGATTGGCAAATGATTTTAATTCCACCACTTTTTTTCTTTTTCCAGTTCACATCAGAAGATTCCACACTAAGTAATGGAGAGCATGAAACACCCAAATAAGGCATTTGTAAAGCATGAATGTTAACAGTTTTTCTGTAGCAAAATCATTGATAAGCAGAGCCACAAAACCATAAGTAATTAACAAGTACTTAAAAGGCAAGTGTCTTCAATTACATATATATATGATCCCCAAACTGAATCTATCATGCAAATGTCTTTGGAGAGAGCATTCTTGCACAGAAATAAGCAAAAGCTGGATGCTTACAAAGTGCACATGGTAAAGAAGGTCTTAGTCTGAGTGAAGAGAGGATGGTGGAGATTATACTGGAAGCAATAAAAGTGCTGAAGGGTTAAGAGTCTTAAAAACCAACACTAAAACTCTAAGGTCCATATTTTCAAAGGAGCTTCAAAAACATGCTTGCAAATATGTGGATATATCCTTTTGTGTACAGCCCCGGGTATTTGTGCACAGAAACGGGCTCTTGTGCAAACTGGGTAATTTTATGCAAAGAGCTGAACATCCTTCTGCCCCAACAAAGCCTGCGTAAGTGGGCTTTGTGTGAGAATAGACTATGGATAGGTAGATGGCACACATCCGCCAAACCCAAAAAGAGGAAGGATGGTCCAGTGGTTTGGTACTAGCAGAGAACTTGGGAGACCTGGGTTTAAGTCCCTGTTCTGCCACAGACCTCCTGTGGGGAGAGTCACTCAGCCCAGGAATTAGGCACCTAAGTCCCTTTGAGGATCTGGGCGTTAGCCTTTCTGTGTCTCAGTTCCCCATCTGTAAAATGGGAACAGCACTATTTGCAAGGGCTGCTGTGAGGAGAAATACACTAAGCTCGTGAGGTGCTCAGATACTACAGTAATGAGGGTACCTAAGGTAAGGAGGAAGAGGCTGTAGGTCAAAACTCCATGGCTGCTAATTTATCCTAGTGGGTGGAACAGTGTCCACATGCCCAATACCCAGACTCCTGGCCACTGCATCTTTGTAAGAATAACTGCAGTTGTTTTGCTTTACCCAATGGAAGGCTTTGCACTGGTCTAGCCCCACCACATCTCATATGCCCCCTTCTGCAAGCAAAGCCCCGGGGCTTAAGTGGCACAGAAAAGAAAAGCCTTCTGTGCGGGTGTGAATTGCAGTCATATGGCAGAGAGTTTTAAGAGCACTGTGCAGAGATCTGTTCATCCAAACACTTGTTTGCATGTGAAAATGCAAGATTTTCCACAGTTCTGCTCCAAACATTACTTTACATTTTTGGAGGTCTTTATATTTGTAGCTGCAACAATATCTGTAAGAAATAATAAGTGATACATTCATAACTGGCAAACAAAGACTGATCCATCACTGTTGAGCTTTGCTTATATATAAAAAAGCCTCCTCTTCAGTTGAAATTAGTAAATGTGTAATATTTGGGTCAGGTCTGTTAGTGTCCATTTAGCATGCAGTTTTATGAAGTAGGCTACAGGCGAGCACAGATTACCTGAGGTAGCCTCCATCAAAGGTGACAAACAGACCTTCCTGCCAGTAGACTGTATGAGTTCTTTTGACTCGGAATGTGCTGCAGCGGTTTCTTTGAGTGCCTGTAAAGCTGTAGATGGTCACATTTTTGTTCCTGGTCTTGGTGTTCTTCTTGTTCTCAAAGAGCTGAAATGAGCAGCGTGACACAATAATTCAACACCGAGACGTCTCACATGGGGGTTCCCCTTAATCAAGCAAACAGGGCCGACCCTTCTTTCTCTGGCCATCTTGGATATTTTCCATTATTTTTGTAATTAAAGTGCCCGTGACTTGTAAAACAGCTTGTGAGGGGATTAAAATAAATACAGTCATGACTATGTCAGCAGCTAAACAAGAATTCCAGATCACGTATAGCGGAATGGCCTCAAGCCAGTGAACATGGTTCATTCTACTGCCCTCGTGCGCAATAATTAAAATGAATTTTGTATTTGCAAATACAAATAAGAATAAACCCGTTTACTGGGTGAGCAAACAATTATCTGCCTCCAGTGCACTGAGCTAGTAAATCACCTGTGTCAATATTTGGGAAGCTGTTTCAATAGGTGGAAAATGACTTTTCTCTATGCTGTTTAAAAATAGTATGTTGAGAATTCAACATGATCATCACTCATAGGCCTACCCATCTGGTGCTTGAACCGATACCCAGTTAAGTCAATGGGATCCTTCCCATTGATGTCAGTGGGTACTGGATATGGGCACTAGTGAGATGCTTAAAAATTTACTTCCTGCCCAATGGGATATAATCAGAAATGCTGCTATGAGAGATTTTTACACGATTTAAAAAAATATAACCTGTAAAAAAAATGGACATTCCTAACATTTTGAGAAGCCTTGGAATTGGAGCATCTCCAAATATGACGAATACTTTTTCTTTAGGTGTCCTATAGTATTGACAAGCTGATACAAGTTAAGTGGGCAGTTTTAAGAGGTGGCAAGGTAGAGTTAATGGGTAATTATAATGGTTTCCAATGGAGCTTCCAGATTATCACTGGAGAGATGCGGCCACATTAACTTGTGCCACCACCAGCAACGTTAATAGCTTTAACCAAACGCTATTTTTATGACCAGGCTCATCACTTTATCTCTTAAGACCCTGTCCTGTAATTCTTGCTCACACAAGTAATTAGATTGAAGACAATGGTCCCAATTCTCCTCTTAGTTAAACCTGCATAAATCTGGAGTTACAATACTGGCTTAAGTGGAGTTCCTCTAGATTTGTACTGACATTGAATGAGAGCAGATTCTGGCCCAAATGAACCATTTACATTAGCAAGGGTTGCAGGACAGGACTATAAGGTTATGTCTACACTGCAATGACAGGGTGTGACTGCAGCTCATGCACACATCCCAGAGGCTAGCCGTAATCTAGCTAGCTCAGGTCCCGAAGCAGTGAAGCTGCGCAGTGCAAACATCAGTGCAGGTAGACTTGCAAGTAATTACCCAGGATTCTGTGCTGAAGTGCATTTTGCCATACCTTCACTGCTCCGGTGGGACCTGAGTCAGCCAGATTAAAGCTAGCACCCACAATTGCAATACAGACAGACCCTAAATGATTACAAGCAATCAGAAGACTTTGGATGCAGCGAAATTGCAAAATAAGCCACCTCGTATGGGGGAGAGGGGAATAAACTTTGGGCTATATTAACTCTAAACAATGCTTAATTGTATAAGAATGGAATCAAATGGAGTAGGACATTTCCTGCTCACCTTACTCACATGAACAGTGCAGTTGAAGTCAATGAGATTTCTCGCATGAGTAAAGCAAACAGAATGTGGTCAAAGAGTATTTGTGAATGAATTCCCAGTGGTATTTATGTTTTTATTAAATGGCATCTTTTATTGTTTTCACTTTCTATTTTGTGAATATAGTAACCTACCTGGAGATCCATCTCTGCAAGACTAATTAACATCCGAGCTATGAACCTTTGCCAAAAGCCAACTGGGACAAAACTCATCTTGAACACTCTTTGGACGGTGTTTGTGGAATGGTGGCATAAGCCATGGATATCTAATGCTGGTTTGGCTGGGAGGAGATGAGGTAGGAGGTAGCTGAAACAAATGAAATGTGACAGTTCAAATCTTCAATGACAGCTTTACAACAGCGGATACCTTGTACTGTGTAATAACTCAGTTTCAGTCTCCACAGAGCATTTTAATAGCCCAGCCTACTGCATATAAAAAGTTTTGAGATATCGCAGCAACATATGAAGAAGGGGCAGAGAGCTACTGCTTTGAGGACTGTGCTTAATGTATGGTATGGAAATCAGCAAGTGAAGAACAGGCATTGTGCACAACACAGTAAGGTCTAATGGAGAGGATAAAATCAATATGAAGGGGAGAACATTTGCATAAACAAAAATTAACTGCATACAAATATGATATAGTCACTGCAATGGTATTTGGTGTCCACTAAATTCTGAAGTGACTTTTGGACTCATTCAGGCTGACACATGTGAAGATGCTGTTCTGATAGCAGAGAATTACAGCTCCATTTCTGTAGGAATCTTTGAATATAAAACCTAGGGGCAGTTGTTTACTACAGCTGAGCTTCACTCAGCACAGATGAGAGGTATCGGAGAGTCCACAGTTACAATTCCCTAATTGCGAGGGCCAGGCTGGGTTGCCCCTCCCCACCCCATGCATTAGTGCAGCCTACGGGTTAGTATAGTTTATCCCTCTACTGCAGTGTTTCCCAAACTTGGGACGCCGCTTGTGTAGGGAAAGCCCCTGGCGGGCCGGGCCGGTTTGTTTACCTGCCGCGTCTGCAGCTCCGGCCGATCGCGGCTCCCACTGGCCATGGTTCACCGCTCCAGGCCAATGGGAGCTGCTGGAAGCGGCGCGGGCCAAGGGATGTACTGGCCACTGCTTCTAGCAGCTCCCATTGGCCTGGAGCGGCGAACTGCGGCCAGTGGGAGCTGCGATCGGCCGAACCTGCGGACGCGGCAGGTAAACAAACTGGCCCGGCCCCCCAGGGGCTTTCCCTACACAAGCGGCGTCCCAAGTTTGGGAAACACTGATCTACTATATGGCCCCTAAAGGATTATAATGCAGCTGAGAATTGGCTGAGTACAGTTCTGTCCTATCCCCTACGTGCCCTGGACAAGCTCCAGCAGCCAGCTCTGCTAGCTGAGAGAACCTTTCTCTGGGGGAATTCTCAGCTGGCCAGTTATGACCGAAATCCAGCTACTCCATGCCATGAGAGCCCCAGAAAAGGGCTGGGTTGTTTTTGAGAGTCAGACCCATATTAGAGTTACAGTAGAACAGAAAGCTTTTGGTTTCCATAAAGCTACTGTAAGTGTGTTGTTAAGCAAAGAATATGGATTTGTCCTATTGCACCGTATTTGAGAAGCTAAGATATGGTAGGAGAACACTCCTATTTTGAAAAGCAAAGTGAGAGGTTGTTGATCTGCAAGAGAAATTCATGCACAAGTTATTATTTAGGTAAATTACAGTTTTCAATGACTGCTCTAGCAACGGTCCTCAAAGAAGCAAATTGTGTGTAACACTCCTTTAAAATGGGCTTTTGATACTTACTAATAATACTGCTTTTCAAACCAGATACTTACTACTACAACAAATACATTAACAGCCACACATTTAATTTAAAGGGATCTCAGCCCAGCCTGGACTTTTGTACTCACAGTCAACTGTATGTGCAAAACTGTGCATATGAATGACAAGATTTAGACATCAAAATATCCAATTTGTAGTCACAATCAAGTAGTTATGCAGCTGGCTAAATTCTATCATTTGTGAATTGTGTGTGTTCTTTTTATTCTTTGAATGTGGAAGCAAAATTATGGCTTCATAGGGAGAAGATTTTTTTCTAAATAAATAGCACTTACAAAGAACCCCTTTGCAGAATTTTAAATTCTACAGTATTATACCCTGGAAAGGTAAACTGAGGCAAAAGACTAAGATTTAACCAAGGTAGCAAGGTGTCAGTGGCAGAGGTGGGAAAACAACAAGGTAATCTTGGGTCAAAGTACCATGCTCTAGCCACTAGATCACAATCCCTCTTACATAGTTAAACCTATAGTGTCCTGTGAAGGTCTGTTTTAGAATAATCAATTTAGAAAGCCATGCATCACCAGACAACAGACTATCTTAAGGACATATTTTTGTATATTGTACATATAATATATGATAACATTTTATATGATAAAATTAATCATCCTACAAAACACCTTTGGCATTTAAAACAGTAACCTCCATTTCTTCAATTTGTAAACTGAAAACAGAAAGGTCAGGCTTTGAGCCTTAATTTAAAAACCAAGACAAGGCTGAGCTACATACATCTTAGGCAGACTGAATTCCAGAGATGCAGAGCGTATCAAACTAAAAGCTCTTGCTCCATAAAACTAGTGGACACACCATGTGACAGCCAATAAATTTGCCTTAGCAGATCTAAAAACATGTCTAGGAATGTAAGAAATATGAAGGCCAATGATGTCTGCTGGACCAAAACCATAGAATGGTTTATAATACAGATGGAGATTCAACACAGTGTTTGAGCAGCAGCCAATGTAAATTTTGAAAATATGTGAAACGTATCCCTGTCCACCCTTCTCAGTATGTAAACTGGCAGCTGCTTTCTCTGCCAATTGCAGGGTGTGGAAAGCCCTATCAGGCAATCTAGACAATAATTGCAAGAGCCCAATCACAAGTAACTGCTCTGGTCTGCCAGGCACAAAAATTAATGCAACCTGCTATAGCAACTCTCCATCAACGGTGGGAAGGCATATTGTAACCAAGAAGCTTAGATGGCTCCAAATAGATCGGTTAAAGTATCAAATAACACCCCTTTCCTTACTACTGAGCCAGGGACAATGTAATTGCCTTTGAGAAAAATGGCAGATAGGGACAAGGAGTCAGGAAGGCATTTAGGATTAAGCAGAAACATTATTGCTTTATCTGTGTTAAGCTTGAGAAAATTTGCTGGCAACCGGGACTGGGTAACTGACAGTCATAATGACAGCGCTGAGAATGCAGCACTTGTAGTAGCACTAAGAATTCCTGAGGGATTTCGAATGATGAAGCAGTGCTATAGCGGCAGAGCGAGGAAATGACATGCAAATGTTATACCGGAAAGGCAATAGCGTTACGACTTAACTATTAATTAAACAGACAATCGACAGATAGAAAGAAAAATAGTGGGGAGGAGAAGGGAATGGGGAAAGGGATTCAACAACATTTAAGTGAACATGGTCTCCATGTCAAATTCCTAGTGCAACACATGGAGGAATATCGAGTGATGAGTTTTATCGTAAGAAATAAACCTTGTCACTTAAAATGTGCTTTCTTGTGCTCACTGAACTGGGGATTAGATATTTAACTCTTGTTCTCAGGGTTGACGTGATCACCAACATTTGGGAGCAATTTGTCCCCAGCGCAATACTAGTGGGAACCTAAAGGTTTTCTGCCTTGCTCTGGAGCATGGATCATCTGTTCGAATCAGATGGTCCGTATTTCCTGTAAGGCAGTCATTGGTGGAACTCTGAGCTTGTCTACACTGGAACAGGAGATGTAATTTCCAGCTTGGGCAGACATATTTGCATTGATCAAATATTTGCTGCTTGCGCCTCGGATACGTACCTAGAGTTTCAGATGGAACTGTACACGGGGTGACTAGCCTATCTGGCTGCCCATGCTGCTACAGCTACACTGCAATTGTTAGTGCGCTAGCTCAACCAAAGCCAGCACAGGGATGTCTACCCGTGCTGGAAATTACACCTCTAGTGCCAGTGTGGACACAAGTGCCGACTCTGTGGGTTCTCTGGGGTTCAAGCACCCACAGAAAAAAAATAGAGGGTGCTCAGCACCCACCAGCCACAGCTGTTTCGTGGGGCAGCCAATCAGTTGTTTGGAGGCTAGTAGGATGGACTCAGGGGAGGGTGGAGAGCAGTGAGCGGCGGGTGAGCAGGGGTCTCGGGGGAGAGGACGGAGCAGGGGTGGGAAGAGGCGGAGCGAGGGCGGGGCCTCAGGGGAGGAGCAGGAATGGGAAGAGGCGGAGCGAGGGCGGGGCCTCAGGGGAGGAGCAGGGGTGGGAAGAGGCGGAGCGAGGGCGGGGCCTCAGGGGTGGAGCAGGAATGGGAAGAGGCGGAGCGAGGGCGGGGCCTCAGGGGAGGAGCAGGAGTGGCAGCCTTCTCAGGGTCCCCCTGCAGGGTTCCAGCGACAGACGACAGCCTCCTCATGGGGGCCCTTCTCAGGTTCCAGTGACGGGAGTGGGGGGAAACCCCACAGCTCCCAGCCACCACGGTAGTGGGGGGAAACCATGGAGCTGCAGCAACAAAAGGCACAGACAGGTCACAGCTTCCGTGAATTTTTGTTCATTGCCCGTGACCTGTCTGTGACTTTTACTAAAAATAACCATGACAAAATCTTAGCCTTCATCATTACCAACATACCTGTTATTGGCTACTGGTAGTGCAATTTCAAACTTGGCCAGGAACTGGAAATACTGTTCTTCTGTTTGTTCAGTAAACCCTGTCCCAACTAACAACATCCTGAAATCCTCCGCTTTGATTAATCCGTTCTTAGCAACAGACTTTGAGCTCTTAATATTAAATATTCTCTGAAGACATTCTGATAACCAGACTGGATCAAGGAAATAGAGGTTTCTCAGTCCATGGCTGGTGTCTGGGAAATGCAGCAACGTTCCTGTTTCTATAAGGAAACTGATGGCTGTAAAAAAAAACAGAAGAGCAAGATACCAGTGTTATGAAACCATACTACAGACAGCAGATTAGAAGAAAGCCTTGATCACTTCATCCAGACAATGAATAGACCAGAAACATGCCAGGATGTAGCCAACAACCAGCATATAGCATTTACATGCAGAGGCTACAGCTAACTAGATCTCATTTCTTACAACACAGCAGCAAATACATCTTTATTGTCGGCAAGATGCAAGCTTTCAGGCTACACCAAACTCTTCTTCAGGTCTCTTCCCCACCCCAACTCAGACCCTGATCCTGCCGTTTGCACGGATGCAGAGTTCCCACTGGTGGGAGTACTGCTTGGGTGAGGATTGCAGGACTGGTCCCTCATACCTGAAACTCAAGACAGTTTTAATAAAATATGTCAATATTCATTTCTGCGGGACTGGTTGAGACCATGTCACAGCATGTGGGCAGACAAAGCGATGGTACTTAAAACTAGCAGCAGGCACAATACTATTCTAGACTGGCAGCAGAATGATTGTCACTTGGAGAGGACTGCCCTTTTTAATGACAGTAGATGGAATGTGACTAGTTTTTAGGGCCCTGGAGACCTGCTGGAGACACTGATTCCACTACCCATGATTGTTACCAATCACCTGAATAGAGATCTGCACAGACTAAGGTTACTTTTACAGTAACAATCTGAACAGCAGCTACTTTCATTCTCATAATATTTGTAAATCCCAATGAACGTTAACTTTGAAACAATTACTGGGCTCCCGAGACATACCAGCTTGTAAGTCCTCATAGTCTTTGATATCATTTCCAGGGGTTTGCTCTACGATGTGCTCTATTTGTTTGTCTGTTAGATACTGCACATTGTCATTTTGACTCCTTTTCTGTTGTTCTGCTAGGACGGCTTCTTGGAGACTAAGGTAACTTCTTGGTATCTGTAAATCACATCAGAAAAATAGCACAACCAATTCCCAACAACAATCATGCTACCCAGCAGTTGGGTTCAAAGACATGTTTGAGAAGCAAGCTTATGAATTTGTTTGTTTTCCAAAATCAAATAAACGTGCAATATTCGTGTTTGCTTTTTTGTTGTTGGTTTATGGCTGCTGAGACACTGTATATATTTCCTATAACTATAACCAAAAAACAAACATAAAAACATAAAACAAAACAAAAAATAACCCAGGTTCGCTACGATTCTCATTAGAAAAAAAAAAAACACTCACCAATCTCGCTGCAAGCATCTGCGAGCAAATAGAGCTGCCGACGTCCTTCATGTTGCAAGTGACTTGAAATATCAGCTGGCGGAGCCCATCAAGGCCTTCTAGGGTCTTACATGATAGCTCACTGCAAATGAAAACCAGGGGGAAGGATTATGAGCCATTAATACAGGTTATGATTCTTCCTTTAGGGTCTGTCTACACTGCAATTAAACACCTGCACCTGGCCCATGTCCGCTGACTCGGGCTCAGGCGATGGGATTGTAAAATTGATGTCTAGATGTTTGAGCTCAGGCTGGAGTCCGAGCTCTGGGACCCTGAGAGACAGGAGGGTCCCAGAGCCGGGGCTTCAGCCCAAACCTGAACTTCTACACAGCAATTTTACAGCCCCACAGCCCAAGCGCAAGTCAGCTGACACGGGCCAGCTGCAGATGTTTAATTACAGTGTAGACGGACCCTTAATGTCACTATGTCTTTAGCTGTTATTTGGAACTTCTAATTTCCGGTGCTGGAATAAATGGGGTGGGGAGGCGGCAGGGTGCTCTCAATGAGGGTCCGTGGCTTTGGGAAAAAATACCAAGAAATGTGAGAAAAAGACACATTGGTCCAGATCCTGGCCCTCCCAGTGCCATGTGCTGTGCATTGTTGAGGGACACAGAGCTCCCTCCCTCGGGGGAATGCCACGGTGGTACAAAGCCAATGTATCCAGCTCTCTATCATCCACTCTCCTCCCCCTGCATAGGCAATGCTCTGGGATGAGCCGGGAGTAGGAGATGTCAGCAGTCCATAGGCGACCGTTCTTGTCCAACTGGTTCGGCCAGCCTCAGGTTCAGGGAGGCAGAATGGTGGCTCACAGCTGCTTTTCCCCCACCCTAGGTCCGGCACAAAATGCAGCTAGCTGGCTGGACCTCCTTTATGCGGAGTCCCTACAAGCCGGCCTTCTCCATTCTCTTACAGCTAGGAAATGCCTGTCTCCATATCATGCTATTCCTGGCCTCCTTGTTTGCTGCACAGGAGTACTCCTCTTCTGCTGCTCCCCATAAAGACTCTTTCTTACCGATTCCACGCATGGTGGGGAGGGAGGGAGGGAAGGGGAAGAAATTTGTTTTAAAGGAGTATCCTGTATTTTAAACCCTGGCCACTGAGTGGTGGAGGGCAGGGGGATGGGGGGAAGTATGCGCTCACACAGCCGGGAGCTGAATGAATGGCCGATAAGAGTGCTTTTGTCGCACCCGCACAAAGGCATTCTGCAACTACTCTGGCTGTCCCTGAGTAGTGCTCGGGGGAGCCATGTTCCTGCCAGCTCCAGGTGAATGATGGTGAATGAAAGAAATTGTTTGGGGTGGGGGTAGCGGGAAGGAAGTGGTCATAGTGTCTCCAGCTGAGAGGAAATGAATGAGGAAAGCTGGACAGGAGTCTAGAGGCGGACAGGAGCTGAGAGCAGACTGTGCTGGGGAGAGTTTGAGCAAGAATACTAATTAGGAGTTCAGGGTCAGGGTGAAGGGAGTTCCCTTTAGAGAGAGAGGTCCGGGCGGGCTGCTTTACGGTGGCAAGAGAGTGGCTGTAATGAGAGTGAGTAGGAAATGATGGTACCATGGTAAAGTGCAGTGATATGCTGCTAGCGCAGCCAGCACCGTATGCAGGGTAGGGCCAGGTAAAAGCTGGACTCACAAGTGTGTGTCCTGGACCTAGTTTTAGTGCAGGTAGGTAGTTTTAATGCCTATTGCACGCTGATAAAAGGAGCCGCTCTGATTGAGAGTGAGAACACGCTGCCTGGGTGGGAGCTAGGCCATACACCAAGCATCAGGTGGTTTTCCTGACTTTGGGGCGGATACAGGAGGCTGGGAAGCTCAATGCAGTGTCTGTTTACCAGATGCAGAATGTCACAGCAGAGCTCTTCACACTGACAGTGTGTGCAGAGTGTGAGCAGCTGGTGCGGCAGCATACCCCATTTCCCAGCTATGGGAATTTAACATCAGCTACTGGGCCTAGTCAACTATTCCCACCAGAGATATCAGGAATTTCCAGCTGTTAGGGGTCAGCGACAAGTTGCTACTGTATCAGCACAGTGCTCAGCAATCGCACATGGCTTGGACCCTGGGAAATGTAAGTCATCTCTTCAATTTCCCTGCCCAAGGATTCTGTGTTCCTCAAGTGCACTCTCCCACCAGGCAGACGTGAGAGAGCTGGGTTGACCTCCATGACCTGATTATATATGAGCAGTCGACGACTCTTTGGCCTTTCTAAAATAAAAAAATGATGTAGACTGTAAGCCCTTTGGGGCAGGAGCCAGCTTTTTGTTCTGGGTTTGTACAGCACCTAGCACAATGGGGTCCTGGTCCAGGACCAGGAATCCTAGTTGCTACGAGAATGCAACTAATATGTAATAATAGTGTTGTAAAGTTATAAAGGCATTTATCTTGCAAATATTACAAATCCCATCAATCTATTGCTAATTGGCAGTAATAATGCTTACATCTTATAGAACAATTGCCATCTTTATCTTTAAAGTGTTTGCAACATTAATCACTCAATGGATACAACTCCCCTGTGAATTAGTTAATAAACTTTATCCTTATTTTACTTAGAGGGAAAATGAGGGGCAATGAAGGCAGTGTAAGTGATTTGCCCAAGGTCACAGCTGTGATTAAAACTCAGTTCCTGCCTCTGAGACCCATGTTGAGACCACTATAGCATGCCATACTTCTCACTTCAATTATACCAGAAAAAATCCAAAATACAAATGAAGTACAAAGCTAATGAGTTTTTAGATCTATTGTTGGCAAGGAAACAAAACATTTACAAAAGCTACTTACATTTAGGGGCCATAAAGTATAACCCATTGGTTGAGACACAGCGATATAAGGGATATTGTACTTACTATAAGTGCTTGAATGTGATATCTGGAAAGCCAGTAGCTCTTGATCCAGAAGGAGAGCGACAAAGAGCCAGGACATATGCTCTAAGAGTTGCTATCCTCTCAACACGAAATTTAGTTTCAATAAGGTCAAGGTGTGTTCCTACCACTAACACGACAGAATTCGGGGCTTTGGCCTGAAAGGAAAAAAATGGACCCTGATTTGCACCCAGACTATGTACTGTACGGAACTGACAAGTGATCAGATGTCAAGGAATACATTTCACCAAACTCAATGGGATCGCTTAGACTTAAGTGGAGAAAGTCTGAACCTAACCTGGATCCAAACAACTTTGGGGAAATTCAGATCTAGAACCAAACTCTGTTGCTAGCCCCATTCTCAGGGTACGCCCACACTACACTTATGGGTCTCTGCTGCCAAGCAGAAATACCAGAGCTACCTTTTCTCTAGCTAGCTCAGGTATCAGAGCAGTGAAGCTGCAACAGTACATTCTTCAGCACAGGCTTTAGAAGCCCCCAGGAATTCTGGGTAATTATGTGCGTGCCGCAACAGTTTCACTGCTCTGGTACCCGAACTAGCTCGATTAAAGCGAACTTGGAAATGTCTACACAAGCTACAGTTACACCCCATGGTTCCAGTGTAACCAGACTCTCTGTTATGGTATTAACTCAATCTCCAGATCCAAACACCACTGAACACTGAATCTCAGCCCTATCTTTATGCATTGGAATGGAATTCAGCCATAGAGAGCACTGGAGACCTACATATCTGCACTAAAAAATGTTAAAACAGAACATCTCTGGGCCAGAAGACTAGAATAAATGCGACTAACCAGCACAAGATAGAAACTGCTTAGAAATCCCCTCAACCCAAACTGACTAGGCACTAATGAGTATTTGCAGCTTTGGCTTAGTCTGAATTTACAAATCAGCTTTTGTTTCACTCTCTGATGTGCATAGGTGATGAATTTAAACCATTAAGTGTAGTGACCTATCTATGGTACAATGGCAATTTATATCCCAAGAACAACATAACATTCACAGATAGCTGAGCTTATAAGAGAGGTTCTAAATGAGTGTAAAACATCCCCACTGACGGACAGAAATGTTACTAAAAAAATCCCACAACCCAAAGTGACTTCTTACCTCAATGTTCAGCAACCAGAACTGAAGGTTTGCAACCGCTTCTTCCCCTAGTGCCAAGTTCCATACAACTACATACAATGCTTTGTCCGTGAAGAAACACTGATTGACTGTCGACATGCTTGCTGGGCCCCCAATATCCCAGACATTGAATTCCACTGAATCAATCTACTTAGACAAAGAGAAGTGGTCAAATAAAACAGCTACAGTAAGTCATGGGGCGCTAACAGCTGAAGTCTAAACCGAGGCCTGGGTGTCTGCATAATGTATGACATTAGAACGGTATCGATGTTGCAATTGTGCCTCAAGGAAATCAAAATCCACAAGCAATTATTAAATGTGGCTGCCACTTCCACGCAGGAAATCAGAACTAATCACTTGCTGCTAAGACTATAGTGGCACCGTTGATACTGGTAAGTCTCCAGATAATGCTCCAGCACAAACAAAAGACTGATTCTGAGCCATGTAATTCACTGGCTCAGGAATAAGAACTGTTTCCATACTTGATTGTGGCATATTTGATAGACTTGCTAAAGCTAGTTAGCCAAAAGTGCATCATAGAGAGCTGGGGTAGAGGGAAGCCCCCTGCAGAAACCATTTTCATTCCGCAGACGGTATGTCTACAGCTTGAGCTGGAGGGGAAAACCCTGGTCGAGCTACTGAGCCAAAAACAGAGCAGCTGCAGCAGCACAAGCAGTAGCAGGGCCTAGCTGCCTTGAGTACAATCCTGTCCAAGATGCTAGGCACATACTTGGGCGACAAGCCCCTCCTATCACTGCTGCTACATTTCTATTTTTAGTACGCTAGCTTGATCAGAGCTAGCACAGGTATGTCTCCTTGAGCAGGTGTGAATACACCTCCAGCTCGAAATGTAGACGTACCCTTAGTCCCGATTCCCATCAAGGCTGAGTTTACCTTGAATAAGGGCAGGATCTGTCTAGATACTTTGGCGTTCAAAGCTTCCCATGCCACTGATTAACACCTGCTGGATGTCATTAGAAACCCTGATGCCAGATGCAGTGTAATGCCAGAGGTGGGCCAAAAGAGCACTCTCAAATCCAGACTCCTGTGAATTTGATAGGAAGTTTTAAAGTACTGGATATGACTCTGCCCCCTACAGCTTGGGTTCTATCTATGGTGCTTATAAACCCCCATCAGTGTATCTTTTGTGTATTTATCCGTACACGCCAGGGGCGATGGATTCTTCCTAAAAGTGGGGGGCTCCTGAGGCCCCGCCCCCTCTGTGGCCCACATCTGCCGCTCCTCTTCCCCCTGAAGCCCCGTCCAAGGCAGAAGCCAGAGCCGGGCCAGGGAGTCTGGGCCCCTCCACCGGGCCAGGGTGCGGGAGCCCGAGAACAGCCCTGTGTTCCCGCTCCCTGTGATGCATCTGAAGGAGAAGGCTCATTTCTACTGTCCTGTGGTGGAATTCAGTGTTAGTAAGGGCAGAGTCTTATGCCTACACAGGGCCTGATACTGACCTCATATTGGTGTAAATCAAGAATGATTCCACTCAAAATAACAGAGTCACACCATTGTAAGTGAGGTAAGAACCAGACCCATTGTTTACAGGATTCTAGTCCTTTGCAGATCAGTCAATAACTTTGTCAGAATATTAAATTCCACTTTAAAGGCCTAAGACCTCAAACTGGATTTTCCTGATCAGTGAAGTGCTGTCTGCAGGCTGCATTCTGCAGAAATGCAGGAGATAGCTTGGTTAATTGAATGGTGCTTCTTGAAAGATTTGTATCTCCAGGGCTCTCTGTTCAACATACAAACATCGCCATGTTCTTTCACTGGGCTGTGACTCACTGCACCCAACTTAGAAAGAATGGAAAAGAAACACCCTAGCCTTAAGGAAAAGTTCCATGGGACCAAATAGAAAATGTTTACATTTCTATAGCTGATTTGAACCCTACAGAATTCATCCCTGCTTTACAATTCTATAAGTTAGTTCAACTAGCCCATAAAAGATCATTCTCCATTAAATTCCATAGGATTGTACAGTAAATTCTGTTATGTTTCTATAGGATCCTACTGGTCTCATCCCAATTAAACTCTATAGGGTTTTATCATAAGGACTGGCAGAAATGTCTTTCCCTTTTCCACCAATCTAAAAAATGTTTTGCAGCATCTGTTTTCTATTGGAAATTTTCTTTTTAAACTGTTCCCCCTTTTCGCCACAGGAACTTGCCTCACAGAGCCTGATTTAATCTTTCATATGGTAAGCATCTATTTAAAAAATGGCATCTGGTTTGCCAAAAATGGGGAGGGATCAGTGTCTTGAAACAAACAGTTTAGGGAAAAAAGCTCTTGGCCAGCTGAAGATTTGAACACAGTTGTTCTGCTGCAGTCCTGAAAGTGGTGCTACAGCCGCTGGTTAAAAGCAGTATTTGGTTTCACCATGCTCTCTCTGCTCAAGAGTGTACATTCTCGTCAATGCATTACCTAGGAAAGCAGTATCTTATGTCTATGACCACTCATTTCTCTTCCAAATCCTTATTTTCCACTTGGAAGTTGTCAAATAGGCCATTGATTTCAATCAGTTCCTTGAGTCAGATTTTCAAAGGTATAGCTACCTAAGATGCAGACAGGCACCTAATGGGATTTTCAAAAGTGCCTACATGGGTTAAGTTCCCAATGCCCATTGAAATCAAAGGCAGTTAGATGACTCTCCTTAGATTCACTTGATTTCAAGGGGAGTTAGGAGCCCACATACCTTTGTGGATCTGGACCTTAGTGCCCAGAAAAAAATGATGAAGGGCTGTCAGAACTGGGCATGTTTAGTAGAAAGGGAAGATGTGAGAAATGACTAGTGATAAACACAGGCAGTGCTTAATTTGTGCCAGGGCTTGCCAGAGCTGAGCCCCGGCACCTCTCGGCGTGGCAGTTCATAGCCCCGGCACCTCCGGGCTTCCTGCATCAGTTATGAATGTAAAAAAATTGCTTGTGCCCTGCCATGTCTTTCATTACAAATTAAGAACAGGAGTACTTGTGGCACCTTAGAGACTAACAAATTTATTAGAGCATAAGCTTTCGTGGGCTACAACCCACTTCTGGGTTGTAGCCCACGAAAGCTTATGCTCTAATAAATTTGTTAGTCTCTAAGGTGCCACAAGTACTCCTGTTCTTTTGCGGATACAGACTAACACGGCTGCTACTCTGAAATTACAAATTAAGCACTGAATAAAGGATGTTTTAAAGAGGGCAGAGACCACTAAGCAAAGAGCGAACTAGAAGAAAGAGCTTTAGGCTGTACTAAGAAAAACATTTTAACTACAGTGTAGGAATGTAGACAACTGGACAATGAAGCAAGCTGCCAACGGGAATGGTGAGTCACAAGAGTAAATTAACACCATCTACAAGGTCTGGTTTAGGGATAATGGAGTCAGTCTAGCTCTGTTTTAAGGGCCAGACTACACGACCCACTGGAGATCCTTCCTGCTCCAAACCATTCTGCACTAGCGAAGTATCTCTGACCATTATTCACCTTGGCTTTGAGTCCAGCTGGTTTCTGAAGCTCCCATTTTGTTGTCCGTATGGTGGCGTCACTGTGCATCATCTGTGGCGCTTTCCCTGTCTGCAAGATCTCTAGAAGTGTGGACTTTCCCTGCCGGGGAGGACCGACAAGAATCATCTTCATCAGCTTGCATTTCTCTGCTTTGCGCAGCTGTGCCCGCAAGTATGCTAATATTGTTTTAGGGCCTAGTGGAAAAAAGGGTGGACATATCCTGTGGTTAGCGATGTGAAAAAGTGCTGCAGGGCCATTTAAAATCTAGTGCAGCAGGCGTGCCAGTAGTATAAGGATTTTCACTGCCGTTTCTCTGTTGATCGAAAGGGCTCAGAGAATAAACAAAAGGAACGAAATTCCTAATGGACAGACCTGATCCCACCAAAAGGTCAACACAGCAAGAGGCTACAGTGAGTCAGTGTAAAGAGAAAAAAAAATACTTTCATTTTCACTCTTCAAAAGCTCAAAGGAAACATAAAACACTAATACAGCATTGGCATATACTCAGTACATTCTTATAGATTCATATATTCTAGGACTGGAAGGGACCTCGAGAGGTCATCGAGTCCAGTCCCCTGCCTGCATGGCAGGACCATTATACTTTCATGTTTCTACTTAAAACTAGGTTTAGACCAAAGCACTTTATTTAAGAAAAAATAGTTTTTTTAAAATAAGAGACTATGCTGTTATAATTGGTCCAAAACATGACAGCTTACACAATAATGTTACTCTGCAGTGTTTTGGGCCATTACTGCAAAATACTTGAGAAGGACTGTCAAAATATTATAAACTATTTACAATCCTATAAAATCCACCACAAAAGTTCTCTGGCATAATATATTGCCAACAAAAGGTTGCATTTACAGGTCATTCTTCTGACATAAAAATCTTTTGTAAATGAACCAATGGTTGGTGTTTCGCATTGAGGGTTGAACAGTGGTGCAACCAGAATTTTCCCAAGATGGGGGCCTGGAACCAGAAGAGGTGGAGGAGGCTGGTTAACAGGGTTCTGGTAAATGGAGAGCCAGATCCAAGGTGTCTTGGGAGCCAAAGCCCCAGAAAGAGATGCAGCCCCCACTTCAGGTCATGCTGGTGGCTGACAGATTCAATAGCTGCTTCTTCCCCATCTCCAAGGACTGGCCCTGGGTGAGGGAGATCAACTGGGGTCTCTCAGTCTCTCCCCCTGCCACTGAAGAAATCGGAACCAGCCTAGATCTCTTCCTACCTCCCCATCCCTCTCCTCAGAGAAACTGGGACCTCTCCCCATGTCCCCTCCCCTTCCACTGGAGAGACCAGAAGACACTGTGTGGTAGCATCCATGGCCAAGGAAGGGCCTGGACCCCTCCCCTGTTGTGTCCTGGGGTTGACTTTGCACTGTGTGGGAAGTTCCCTATGCAATTCCTTTTAACATTCCCTATGCAGATACAGTTCTTTCCTGTTCAAGACGATTAAAAAAAAAAAGTGATTCTGATGATCTGTTTAAAGAGATGAATTTATTAAAATAGGTGTAGAATACAGACTTACCCTCTTTTATGATCTCTGCAGGAATGTTGCTGATATTTAGTTCCTCAATATCCAGCTGCCAAAGATTAGCCAGCTGTCCAAGCTCTGGAGGGAGCTCTCGGAGACCAGGATTACTGTTGGAAAATAAATAAATCTACCAACAACCGGGCTTTGTAAGTACGTAGCTACTGTTATGGGCTCCCATACTACACAATTCTGTCTTCACAAAGATCTGCCTCTCTCTTCCATTAACATTTTCATAAGAATACTCAGCACTTCCATAGCGCTTTCCATCTTCAAAGTGCTTTGTAAAATTTAATTAACCCTGTGAGGCAGGTACGTATTATCATCTCCAGTTTATAGATGAGAAAGCTTGGGCAGAATGGTTAAGGATCAAGGCTACAGAAGGAGACAGTGGAGAGTCAGGATTAGCGTTCAGGCCAGCAGCATCCAGTTCTCTGCTCAGCCCATTAGAACCACTGTCCTTGCTCTAGAGTTTAAAGGTTAAAATCTCCAACCTAATTATAAAAATCTATGGGCCCAATCCTATGAGGTGCTGAGTGCCTTCAACTCCCTCTGACTTTACATGTGTTCATCCCCTCGACTCTAAGGCTACGTCTACATTTGGAGATTGGACTTGAGCAGGGTCTGGATGGGGTTGTACTTGGGGGTGGCTAACCCATGCTGCTGCTTGCTGTTGCCCGAGTTACCACGTCTACACTAGTATTTGTAGCCTGCTAGCTCAATGAGAGCTAGCATGAGTCTATCTAACGGAGCTGGGAATCACATCCCCGGCTTGTAGTGTAGATGTAGCCTAAGAGAGAAGTTTGATCGTCAAAGCAGCAGAGTAATAATGTGGCTTTTCATGGCATGTACTTACTTCCCTAAATAAAGCTCTGTTAGACCTTTCAGAAGGCAAATGGATTGTGGGACGGTGTCTAGCTGATTGTCATTTAGATAAAGGACTTCCAGAGAGTCATTCAGGAATGCCGGAAACTCCAAGAAGGGACCTGAAACAACACGAGAGAAAATAAATGCTGAGATGAAAGCAAACATAATATGCCACAAGGCTCTAGACCAATAACCCTTGGTCTTAACATTTCAGTGAGGTCATTAGGTAACTGAATTAGTTACCATGAAGCAATGCATGCAAAGCAAGTGACCACCAACAGAAACAATGGTAATAAAGCATCCAGGCCCAGATTATGGCTTTTACTATCACAGCGTTGTTGGATTTTGCCCTTGTGTGGAGGTGCAAATCCCCAGCAGTGAACAGAGATGTTCTACCTGTGGAGCACTTAGGCAGACAGAATGTCTCCACAGTCACTGATGGGAATGTGTCTAGAAGAACATTTAATTTTTCTTTTTTGGTGGAGCAGCATGTGTTCCCTTGTGGTTGGACAGCGTCTCCTCTGAGATGCATCACGGTCCAAGCAATGACATCCATGCCCAGTCCAGCCCCATAGCTTGCACGCAAAGAGCACAAGCACTGGGAAGTTTGTTCCCTGCATTCTCACAAGAGCAGCCAAAATTTGGCCACAATACTGTCTGATAACTACATGTGAATAACTCAGCAAGAGTTCAGGGTGAGCAGAGAATCAGGTCAATTTACGCAATTAACCCTGCACAGAGGGGGGAGCCAGCGAGCAGCAGGATCTGCCAGTGACTACAGTGGGCAGATGAGACAATGTAGGCCCTTACCACAGGCAACAATAAAGCTAAAATTTACTCAAGGGCCCCAGATGGAGGCACAGAAGAAGCTGCATTGTTCTGGAATGATGCTGCACAAGACTGGCAACCAGTGAATGACAGAATGATACAAGCAAGATTTCAGACACGCTGTATGAAAATGACCATCATTCAATGCTACGCCCCAACAAGAGAATACAATGAGGATGATAAGGATACTTTTTATAACATTCTGCAGAACCTCATCAGCAAGTCCCACATGATGATATTTTCATTGTTATGGGTGATATAAATGCTGTGGGGGGGAGAGACAATCATGACATGACAGACATAATGGGCATAGGTGAAACCGGCTCACTTAACAGTGAACACTTTCTTGAATTATGTCAACTGAACCATCTTATTGTTAGAGGGATACTCCATCATACACCACCATAAAACAACGTGGTTCTCACCTGATGGCAAAAATCATATGAATAAAGTTCTGATCGTCACCTCAAGACATCCAAGTATACAGAAGGGCATTTGTAGGCAGTGATCATCAACTGTGCATTGCCACAGTGAAAATGAACTTGAGGAAAGTACCAGTAAAGTGAATCACAAAGAAAATTAACGTCTTTAAATTTGAGGATGAACACTCCTCAAACACTCCTGGGTTCAGTTCACTCATTTTTTGACTCATTATGAATTTAATCTTTTTAGTGTTTATTGCTCCTCTTCTGTATGGATGAATGGAACCAATCTAGTTATATAGAGAGACAGATTCAGTCCATCGCGGACACACAGGAGTAACTACCAAAAATAGCAGCAATGCTCCCAATTCATTTCCTAACCCTAGATAGAAAAGAGTGTGCTATGTTAGAACCAGGCTCGAGGGGTTTATGAATTGTAATTATTTATTCATGAATTATGTATGACTTTTCTGGCTTGGGTCTGGATTTGCTGTTAAAATAATTCCCATCCTAAAAATATTTTTGGATGGGTAAACTACACAAATGCAACCACATGCATATGCAAGAAGTTTATTCTGAGTTTTATCAACCTAGTGTACGGAGTATCCCTAAATCATCCTCTGTAAATAATTTCCTAGACATAAGTAAACAGTTTACTTGGTAAAATTACATTAAATATAGGGTGCTTTTTGTACGAAACTGATGCATTCTGACTCCTGTCTTCACTAAATGTCCTTTAAACTCCTGGTCACGTCCTCTGGTCTCACCAAGCTGCACTTGGGACAGGAGGAGAAGCTGGGAGACAAAGGTGATTTTACTCCATCTTTGTGGCTGTCCAATCCTGGCGCCAGCCAGGGAGCTGGTTTGGCCCCTGGCCCAAGTTTAGTCACACCCCGATACCCACATATCAAAGGGGACATTCTAGCTAGGGATTGTCAGAGAGCAGTGGCGTTCAGGCCCCACCCCCTTTCACTAGGCCCCACCCCCTTTTCTGGGGGAAGGGGTTGTTCTGAAGACTGGGCTGGCTCTGCATTGCTGGCTCTGCATTGCTTGGGGATTCTCATTGCACAAGGAATCCCCAGGGAGCTGGTTAAACCGGCTTTACGTCCCTTTGCACGACCATAGCAGCACAAAGGAGCTATGGCAGGGCTGAAGATCTGGCCCTCTGAAGGGGGCATCGTCTTGCTATAACATTCATGTTTCTTATTTCAATGTAACGCACACCAATCCTTTTTGCTGAGGCCCTTCCCCATTTGCAGCTGATTGCTGGATTGACATCACCTAGCCCAGACTGACAAATGCACCTCTCTTATCCCCTTGCTCCATGACCTGACACAAGTGCCTTCATCTCTCATTTTCTCTCTCCTTCTCGCATTACTCCACAACAGTGGGCACAGAAGATGGGCATTAACTGGAATAGCAGGAGGATTTATGGGGGGTGGGATTGGTACTAAGGCCAGGACAAATCTTTGGCTCAAAGCATCCCTGGGGTTAGTCCTCCATTCACCCCCTGACCCCCAGCTGTTGTAATAGCTTTACAGAGTGGATATGATGCCCCTGATGCTGACAAACTCTTTAGAACAAAGGTTCAGGGTCATATTCCCACATGTTCTACACTCGGGATTGATGTCACAGCATTTATCTTTCTAGGTAAATCCTGCTATTTCTCTTTTCATTTGTAACTAGTTAAAGAAAATCTTATGCACAACAGAGATTTCTTTTCTTCATATGAATACACACATTACTTGCTGGACAGCAGTTCCTACCTCCACCGAGAGGAAATTTCGCAAGTTTCATGGTTCCATAGAATTTAAGGCCAGAAAGAACCATTAGATCCTCCAGTCTGACCTCCTGTGTATCACAGGCCATTAAATTTCACCCAGTTAAGCCTGTATTGAGCCCAATAACTTGGGTTAGAACAAAGCATTTCAGTCCTCATGACTCTTGTGTGCCTCAGGCAGAGAACAAGAGAATTCATAAGAATGGCCATACTGGGTCAGACCAAAGGTCCCTCTAGCCCAGTATCCTGTCTTCCGACAGTGGCCAATGCCAGGTGCCTCAGAGGGAATGAACAGAACAGGTAATCAAGTGATCCATCCCCTATGGCCCATTCCCAGCTTCTGGCAAACAGAGGCTAGGGACACCATCCCTGCCCAGCCATTGATGTACCTACTCTCCATTAACTTATCCAGTTCTTTTTTGAACCCTGTTATAGTCTTGCCCTTCACAACATCCTCTGGCAAAGAGTTCCACAGGTTGACTGTGCGTTGTGTGAAGAAATACTTCCTTTTGTTTGTTTTAAACCTGCTGCCTATTAATTTCATTTGGTGACCCCTAGTACTTGTGTTATGAGAAGGAGTAAACAGCACTTCCTTATTTACTTTCTCTACCCCAGTCATGATTTTATAGATCTCAAGCATATCCCCCCTTAGTCGTCTCTTTCCCAAGCTGAAAAGTCTCAGCCTTATTAATCTCTTCTTATACAGAAGCCATTCCATACCCCTAATCATTTTTGTTGCCCTTTTCTGAACCCTTTACAATTCCAATATATATTTTTTGAGATGGGGCGACCACATCTGCACACAGGATTCAATATGTGGGCATACCATGGATTTATACAGAGGCAATATGATATTTTCTGTCTTATTATCTATCCCTTTCTTAATGATTCCTAACATTCTGTTCGCTTTTTTGACTGCCGCTGCACATTGAGTGGATGTTTTCAGAGAACTATCCATAATGACTCCAAGATCTCTTTCTTGAGTGGTAACAGCTAATTTATATGTATAATTGGGATTATGTTTTCCAATGCCTGAGACCCCTGCAATGGCTGGGTATTGATTAGGTGAGGTGTGCCTGGATGATCTCAGTAGGTGATCCACGCTCCATGCTGCAGAGGAAAGCAAAAAACCCTCAAGATCCCTGCAAATCTGACCTGGGGGGAACTTCCCTCCTGTCCCCAAATCTAGAGATCAGTTTGACCCTGAGCATGTGAGCAAGACCCAGCAGCCAGGCATCTAGGAAGAGGATTCTCTCTGTGACCTCAGAGCCATCTGTCAGGTGTCCTGTCTCCAGCTGTGGCCAATCCCTGATGCTTCAGAGGAAGGCAAAACTACTCCCAGAATATATCTGGCCAATGGTGCCCCAGGGGAAAAACTCCTTCCTGATCCCTGTAGCTGACCAGCTAAAGCCTTGAAGCATGAGATTTTATTATAGTCTTTGTCTTAATGCAGATTTGCAAGGGTCATGGGTGTGTGAGGGTAATGCTTCTGCTCTGTCCATGACCCATGAAGGAAGGGGAAAAATAAAGGGATTCATTCATAGTGCAGTGAGGTGTGACTATATGGCTAGTGGACTATTCTCATCAGGATGTCTAGGGCAATGTTAACTGTCACCACAAAACCTAAATTTTATTCCGTTCTGTGCAATTCCCCAGGGGCACTGTAAAATGCACTGTCAGGAAGGTACTCCCAAGGGAGAATGCAGCACATAAAAGATCTGAGTGGCCTAAAAAAAAAATCAAACAAAAAGAAAAGCAAATGAATCCCACAGAGATTAGGGATCAGTGTGGATATCTTCAAATGGTCTTTTGATCTTTATGGGATTTCACAGATGGTAATCCAGAGAATCTCCCGCCAGACCTTTGGCAATCATCAAAGAGGCACAGGGCAAAACCTATTTTGCAAGTTCAGCCACATAGTTGTATTGCCCTTGGGATCATCTAATGATTGGTTCGTTTCCCCATCTCAGTAAACCAAAGGCCACACTAGCTAGAGTGACTAGCTTCTCGAGCACTTCAGTCATTTGGACAAAGAGAGGGACTGATAGTTCAGTGGGAGAAGCAGGTTTCACCCATTAGCCATTTGGGCAAAGGGGATAGACCAGTTCTACAGTAATTTGTACATTAAAAGCATTTCCAATCTTATTTACATGTCACTGCACTAAAAGCTGCAGCTGTGCTTACACTGACCACTCATCTGCCAGACTCCAAGAGGATCCCTGTACCCTTGGAATTCACTTGGCACAATCCACCATCTCCTTCCCAGGAGAGGAGGTCACCACATACCATACCTGCCTCCGCGCCTGCACGCACTCTGCTTCTTGTGGTAAAAAAGGAAATCCGCTTTGTTTTAAACCCCTCCTCACTCCTGCAGATGAAACAAAACGCACAAAGCGATGCTTGAGAAAGACAAAGCCACATTGGGGGACATTCACATGAGCTCATACTGTTATGGGCCCAACCTGCGGGAGCTCAGCACCGTGTAGGATTTGGGCCTCTGCAAGGCTTCATAATGTCAGAGCACAGCCTTTGCTGGTTCTCATTCCCCAGGCATGTGGAAGAGGGGTCTGAGCCACACAGCTCAGCAGCAGTTCTGAACGCCACCAAAACTCAGAACCGTCTGAACCCAAGGTTTTTGGTTCAGACTCATCTCTGTCATTCAACATATTAGCCTAGCTCTGGGTCATTATGTGGATTCCATTTGGGAAATGCACACTTGACTTTGTGTTCTCTTTACTGGTATCAAGGTTTAGGAGATTGTCAAATAGCAAATGGAACAAGCTGCATAAGAGACTCTGTAGAATAGCCTTTTCCTATTACAGCTAGCACTCCTCTGACATAATGACCCATAAATGCTATTGTGAAGATGGATTGAGACATTTCTAAAGCATTTATACATCCTTGTTTATTGACACTGACCATGCAGACTATTGGCAGGGCAAATCATAATGAATCTAGCAAATCTGCTGGGCATGCACCCAAATGACGTATATGGAAGCTTGCTGCGCTTACTTTCATTGCTGGAGAAGGGAACAGACCTGCAAGTCTGCATATCAAACATCCTTATAATGTTTTCTAAATGGAAAAAATCATCACTCCTAATTTTTGTTTTCTTTTCTAAATAGCCAAAGTCATTAGTCTGGCCATGGGCTAATGGCCTGTTACATTTTAATTTAAAAACAAAGATTATTAACATTTTTCAAAACACATACTCCCAACAGAAATACGAAAGTTTAAGCCCAGACAAAATGCCTATGGTTAAGATATGCTCCCCACAAATAAGTACTTGCATTGGTAAACCACTCAGAGTGAAGCATGTTCTACATTTTATTACCAGTAATAATTATTCACTCATGAAATAATGTCATGTGCTATATCCAAAGAAACTATGAGTAATATTTCTTCAATGCCACAGGTGTACAAGACACTTTGGAGATGTAAAAGAAGATGTGGTCCATGCTGTATGGATAACTATATACGATATAGAGGGAATTAATCCAGTGAGTCTGTAAAAGCATCGGCACTTTCTACCACGTGTAAGGGATTGGTTTTGTTATTAATTTTTAATCTTTAGTTTAAATTTTAGCTCTGACACAAACTAAACGGAACACTTACTTCCCAAGCTGATTCTTAGAAAGATCCAGTGATTTAAGTTGCTTGCAAGTCCACTTATTTTGAGAAGGCAATGAAACTAACTGATTTCCCAAAAGCTTCAGTGACACCAGTGCCTGAAAGAGGAATAGGCAGCACTTACAAGAAGCAATCCATTAAACAAGCAGAAAGAGGTCTGGTAAGTACAGCTGCTTAAATAACAGGAAAACTAAGAGAGCGCTTCTTATTTAACAAAGATACTAGCTTCCTAGCATATAAACATTCCCCTCCTTAACTCTCTCCAATACACACATTTACTGCATCTCCTTGTACAAAGCAATGCAGCTTTTAGCCCAACACAATTACTGGCCTATTTGCTGAAAGATTCAATTATGAATTCCAAAAGTCAGCTTTGGTATTAATGAAACAGTCCCATGTAGATAAGAGATATGTTTCATATGGACACTATGCCATATGTTTGTCATAGGTGTGGCATATGTGTGTAGATTAAGATATGAGTGGGCCCTCTCCTACTAATTCATATTTCAGACTATATATTCTCTTGTATAAATCCAAAATGCAAAATGTGTGCTACCTATACAGTACAATCTGCATATATTTTTGTTACATGTGGTTTAAAAGTAGATTTACATTTCTTTTCACCATTTATACTGTTGGTTTACTCTTTACTTGTACTCAGATTGTAGACTGAAGCTAGATAGATAAGTTTCATTTGCTTGTTCTCATGCATTAAGTAGCACCACGGAGATACGGTAAAATTCCAAATACCACAGAGTTTAAATACAACCTCCCTCCTACAAATTTAATTGACATTTACAAAAAATTGATTTATGCCAGATTTTGTAAACCTCCCCACTCTCCCACTTTGCTTTACAAATAAATTGGAAGCTAAAACCATTCCCTTTAATAAAACAAGAGTAGATTTTCATTGAAGAGATGTTCTCAAAATAGTAAGGCAACAGGACAATACCCAAAGGCACTATAAAGTGCTTTTAAAAGCTGGACAAGACAATAGTACTTGAAATATGTCAGCATTAGATGGAAAATTGGGGATGAGGGGTTCCCCCATGAGAAATTTCAACTTTTCATTAAAAAATGTTTTGGCCTGAAACTGAAATGTTTTTGGTTTTTCAGCAAGTCAATGTTTTCCATGAAAATATTCATTTTGTCAAAGACCCAATTTTCCATAGAAAAACAGTTTTTGACTGAAAATTTAATCGAGTCCTAGTTAATACATCTCCTGATGTGATCTGAGATAAGCAGAATTTTAACCTAGAAATGCCAAATTCTTTCTAGCATAACTCCACTGAAGTTAATGTAATATTCCCAAAATCAATGGAGTTATGCCAGCAGAGAATTTGGCCCTAGGTATTTTAGACAACATTTATGTTCCATATGTCATTAAGGTTTAGTGTAAATGGTGCAGACCACTTACAAGGTTGTGCTGGCATGGTGTGGCAAGTACTTAATCAAGCCACAATAACACTGTCTCATCAAGTGAGACTGTTAGTCTGTGATGTAGTCAAATAGAAGAATAAGAAATCTGAGTGGGACCAGCGTAGCAGCCTATCATCAGGTGAGTAGGTCGGTATTTAACGTGTAACATGCGCAGTGACAGGACAGGGGCACACCAAAGCTTTGACATAATGCTAGAAAAGTAACAAATATAGATAACTGTGAAATATTGGAGGCTATTGGAAGGGAACTGGTGAAGGAACATGCTGAGTCAATTTAAATGCTGGAATTGAACGACACCAGAGACTTCCAGAGAAGTATAAACAAATTAACCATACAGCCTTCCCCCTACCCCACCCCCACATTTTGTCAAAATCTTTGCACATTTGGAATTAACCTCAGTTTGACAAGAAGAATCTGTCTCCACCCAACACTTTGTGCCAAGTTCCCTGCAGGTATCACCACAGGTTTCCTGAATCGTGACTGTCCAATGGCAAAGTTTCAGAGGGATGGGGCGCAGTCAGGAGTGAGAAATGGACCATAGTAGGTAACTTCCTTCTCTTTTCTGCCACAACACACAATAGGGGAACTGTCATATAGTTTAAAACAGAGTGGAAAAAGCTACTGTCACTTAATTATGACAGTGGCTGCATGGGTCAACTTGTAAGGGATCTGGAAAACATGACAGGATTGCTTTGCATATGTCCCTCAGAGAAAAGTTCCTGATCTTTCTCCAAGAGTGATCGACTAGAGAAGTGAGCTGAGCCGTGACTTGGAAAAGTACCAGCTTCTTTGGAAAAGGGTAATGGCCTCTACAGCAAAGCTGACAAGGACTCTAGATGTCCCCTGTAGGAACATCTGTGCTGCACAAGGAATCATAGAACATGAGCCAGTTTAGCTTCCTCTTCTCATGCCACATCTGAACAATGACATATCTAAATCGTATACTTTACCATGGACTAGATCCTGACTTTATGCCCAGCACTGAGCAAAGGGTGAACTACCACATTCCAGCAGCCGCATTATGCCAGAGATGCTCATTATGCCAAAGTTCTGCCCATTTTCCACCCTTCACCACCTTCATAAAGCTAGAGAGGGTGCAAGTGGGTGAGTAGTACATTTGCTCCAATGCCCCCACAACCAAGATGAAGGTTTACTGTTCTTATTTCCTCCGATTCCCTTATGCAGGCATGTAATCACATCACAGTCTAGCTCTGAGTAACTTGGGTGAGTTGGCACTTTTTAATGTTATCTGATTAGGACTAAAGAAACAGAGATGTGAGCTGGAGCTCCCTAGGATGCCCAAGTGCCTGCCAAAGTATGCCAGCTTCTAAATCACACAGCCCAGTGGAGAATTTATCCAACTCCATTTAGATAGGGTGACCATCTGTCCCGTTTTTAAAGGGACAGTCCCGTTTTTTGGGACTTTTTCTTATATTGGCTCCTATTACCTTCCTCACCCCCTGTCCCGTTTTTTCACAGTTGCTATCTGGTAACCCTACACTTAGACATGCTGCCCTGGGATCTATCACATCATACACAAATCCAGCCTTCCATACACAAAAACTACAGTGTAGGATGAAATGTGACCCTGGAGCACCATCTAGCGTCCAGCATTTGCTGTGTTGACTGAATCCCTCCCATTTGTATTTTTACTATCTTCAGAGAAAAAAAGTGATGTTAGGGTGACCAGATGTCCCGATTTTATAGGGACAGTTCTGATTTTGGGGTCTTTTTCTTATATAGGCTCCTATTACCCCCCCCCTGTCCCGATTTTTCATATTTGCTGTCTGGTCACCTTACATGTTAAAGTAAAGTAAAGTAAAAGTGATGTTAAAGCCAATAGCACATAGATTTCACCTTTCGGGAGATGTGCCAGGATAGAGGAAATGATGAGCAGAAACCATTACAAATATATGTTATGAAAAGGCAACTCAGGAAGAAAATGATCTTCTCTGTTCCTATTAGCAGGAGAAAGCCAGAGGCATCTCTCTAGCACGCTCCTCCTTTCCCCTGTGGGCATTCCACTGGGAACAGGCTAGCTGAGTGGGATTGGGGAGGGAGGTGCAAAATTATTCTCAGTGACATTGTTCTCCCATTAACTTTATGGGGATTTCAAGTGAAATCAGGGCTGATCAGGATGGCTTCTCTTGAATGTGGTTTATCTTACACCTTCCTATCAGATGCTTTTCCTGCTACAACTGCTCCCTTGGTGTCCAAGTACACTGACTCAGGCAGACATGGACATATGCTGGGTAGAGCTGTGAAAATCTTGGCACTTTCACAAACATTTTCCCTTATTTCAACCCACACAAGACTATGCCCCCTGTGCTTCACAATCTGAAATGGAAACTCAGATGAAACCGCTGAGTTCTGCCTTGTTTCATGTCGAAACCACAAATTCTGAACAAGTTTGGAACAAAACCATGAATCTGTCCTATAAGTGGAAAGACATTTGCATGAAAGGTTTGTCAAACACAATGAACCTTTCAATGAACGTGGTCTGCCCTTCGAGTTTGTAACTCACCTTAACCCAGGTCTGTTTCATATGCTACCAGGTTTCAAAGCAAGTATTTCACACAGCACTAATGTGGACCCAGTAAACAATAATACTTCCTGCTTATATAGTGCTTTCTGGGCCAGATTTTGCACTCATAATTATCTGTGGGTGCAATTAAGTACATTGGACGTCTAACTCTGACTTGCAACTACCAAATGGAGGTCGGTTTAAAAAAATGCAATCCTAAAGACACAGAGTTGCAGGTACCAAAACAGCTCCCAAAAGAAACCTAAAGCACGTTACAAACAATACACAGGATCATTTGGGACATGATGAAAGCGCACCACCGGGGGAAACGGGGCAGCTATTTAATATTGCATGGAAGCCCCGGACAACAGCTCTGCATAGGGAGCAAAGGACATTATTCTACTGAACACACAAAGACCCTCTAATCCCTTGTTCATAATCACATACACACTGCACTTTGTGTTCCTGTCCGCAATAGGTTCTGCTGGAAAAGCTCTAGGAGGGTTTTACACTTACTTCAAGTTGGAAAAGTCCTTGTGGAACTTCATTTAGTGAGTTCTCAGAAAAATCCACTTCTCTGAGGTGATTTTTCCAGAAAACAGCCAGTGTGTCCGGGAGGGACTCCAATGAATTTCTAGATGCTTTACAACATTTCTGGAAGCATGAAAAAAAAAATACTGAGACAATAACAAATTCTAAGACACATACATCTTTAAAGAAACATGCTGATCAATTGTCACGTTTTATACATTAATACAATTGATTCATGCAGCCTTCCTAGGTGTTTTTTTGTTTTGTTTTGTTTTTTTAAAAGTGTAACTACTGCACAACAAGGAATTGCACACATGTTGGTCTAAGATCGCATTCCTGCAAGTCTAATTCCAAGCAAACCCCAATAAACTCCAAAAGCATACACTTAATTGATAGGCAAATCCATTTTAAAGTATATGCATTTTAATTGTTACTTTGGAGACTGTCACTTACTCTTCCCCATAAATATACATTTAACCAACAAAACACATTCTTGCACTCATCATTTTTTACCACTATCCATAAAACACTGACATTTATCTCCTCCTGAAATATACAATGACATTCGGGTATTGATATCTCATAATTTATCCACTGGCTTGATTAAAGTTAATCTTAAGGAAGGCTGTGAGTTTTGTAACATGACCCAGTACATCCTTCAGCTCATATAAGCAGGGTCCAAGCGGTTTGCTTTATCCATGGCAGTGGTACCATTGACCCTACTGGGAATATCCACATGAACAGAGTGAACCGCAGTGGATCTCCAAAAACCCACCCTGAAAATCCAAAAGATATAATCACCCTGGTATCACCACTGCACTGGGAGACCAGCTTTTCAGCCTAAGAAACTGGATAGAGTCTTAATGTATCACATCCCATTTCTTTGCACTGTCCTGTGAGTGGAAAGCTTTCCTCAGTCTTTTGCTCCCAGCAGAGCAGTTTGACCTACCAAGGGGCAGGCCCAGGGGTCTGGAAACACCTTCAGGTTGTTTCTGGAAACATTGAGGATGGTTAGGGATTTGAAGCAGTAAAGGAACAGTGTGGGGAGATCCACCAATCTGTTGTCAGAGACATCAAGTTCTTGCAGTTTCCTTAATCCAATCCAATTAGTTGCTAGAAAATACAAAACATCACAAACTTAGTGAAGGGCTGTCACTCGGGGTCTAATCTTGCATGGTTCTCAGTACTTCGTGGGTGTGAGCCAAATCCCAGTGACGTCAGTAGAAAGACTATTGACTTCAATGTGCTTTGGATGAAGACCCCATAGCTGTGCTAAGCACCCAACCACCATTGGCTTTGGTGGGTTAGGGGTCAAAGGAAGCTTGGGTGCCCCCGGCAAGATCAGGCCTGGGAGTGGAAAGTGTAAGGGTAACACTGATCACTGGAGCTAACATACCACTTTCCTCATCAAATAACTTTTCCAGATAATTTTTGGTGGCGATGAGTTTTTGAAGTTTTGTGAGATGTAGGAATCCAGAAGGGAGAATACAGAGCCTGTTGATGGACACATCCACCTCAAGTAACCTGCAAGTGTGGAAAAACATCCAACAAAGCATAAATAAAAGCATGAGCATTGAGTAGTGTTATATAAACACATCTATTTTATCATATTTTTAGCTCCCCTTGGGCAGAGGTATGATATGTTCTCACAAGCCATGACAAAAGCCACACTTTAAAATATGACCATCCTGATAATTAACTTGGAAATAACTGTATTATAAAGTATGGAGCAGAACTGAGTCTTCGTAGTGAAAAGATAAAACCAAGAAGCTCTTCATCTACCCAAGGGACATAGGTTCATTTGTTCTCTTCAGGTTTCAGTCTGTCACACATACACAACTGATTGATCTGAAGCAGCTCTTTGCACTTGCTATCCTTTGATTTAAGAATACAGCACACACACCTTGTGCATATAATTTCATCGGATGACTGGATGCTGGGCAGTTCGGTCAGCTGGTTGTCAGATAGGTTCAGTTTCCTGAGGTTTATCAGTCCCCATGGAATCACGGATGGGAGGGAGGCCAGGCAGTTGGCAGACAGATCGAGCTCAGTTATCTGACATGAGATATCAATCAGCCAGTCCAGATCCACCCAAGGCAGCTTGAGATTTGACCAACCCACAGACAGTGCCTGTATGCCAAAGAAAGAACAAAATGCAATTTTAATATGACTCACTCGCCTTATGGTAATAAGCCAGGGCCTGTTACGATACTGACAAATCATCAAGTGAGCTGTAAGTGCTTCACTTTCCATGCAACTAGCTTCTAGGAACTCAGATGACCCAGCTATGAAATAACACATTGATGTCAGAGGCCCTGGTCATGAAGCTGCTCCGTGGGCTCCATCCAATGACCCAGTGCCCAGCCTAAGCAGTGGAATAGCTACAGAGCTGCTCCACTGAGGGTGAAGTGGTCTTCCATGAAACCTACACACTCTTCTCTGTTGGAGGCAGGGTAGATCCTCAACCCCTGCCCCATCCCATACTGTGCAGGGAGCTGAGCACTGTGCCATCCAGGAGGCACTCAGATGCCTCAGTGATGGACACAGCCTGAGAACCTAGACATGGATACATACTGCAAGTCCTTCTTAAATCCCATGTCCTTCACCTCTTTCCTCGTTTGTGTCTTGAAGCTATACTGGGTCCTTCACCAGGGGGATCCTTGCGCCTCTGGATGTACTGGCTAGATTTCCTCCACGTGACACTCTTACAAGGACTAGTTTAGAGTTGTGCATGTGAAGCAGGTGCAGGATGGCCTCCACATCTGAGATGTGGGGCAGAGAGTGTGAAACACTCAAGGAGTGCTGCCTAAGAGCTTGTGGAAAGGAGTCAGTGCAAGCCCATAGGGTAGATATGCTGCACTTGGGTAAAAAAAGGCCTTCAACCAGTGTGGTCAAACTACGGTAAATTACACTAGTGCAGTGGTTCCCAAACTTTAACAACCTGTGAACCCCTTTCACCAAAACGTCAAGTCTCGCGAACCCCCTCCTAAAAATGAATATTTCCAGGGATTTTCTCTTTTACCTGAGTATAAATTATAAAAGCAGTGATCTTGGAAATATAAAATTTGTTTTTATGACATGCTTATTACATACTATTATTAATTATTATTTATCATTACACTATTTTTATTACATTATGAAAACGGCAACACTCTTCCAAGATCTCACTTTTGTAGCTTGTATCACTTTGAATAAGCCTGTTATAAGACAAGGCTCCTATGTTCATCAAGAAGTATCAGATGTGAAACAGCATGAAGGTATCTAAGAAGCCAACTCAAAGAGTTCCTCTTACACAAGCATTCAGGTCGTGAGCAGTTCAGGTAAACAACACACGTTACAACAAAGCTTAAACTTGTTCTTCATAATAATTTAAAAAACAATACTAGCTGCCTATTTAATTTTAAAAATAGCAAAAAATATCCACCTCCCTTTCCATTTCTTATAAGGAGTCTTGACGTTTAAATCTCCTCAGTGTGATAGAGATGCTTGCTTTGATCTGCTTAGTTCTTGGAAGTCCAGGGGCTCCGGGCTGCTGGTCCCGTGCTGCCCGGGGTCCCTAAGGACAGCTCTGTCCACCATTAGGGAATTTTTTCCCTGAGAACCCCCTGTAACGGTTCGTGAACCCCAGTTTGGGAACCACTGCACTAGTGCAAGTCACACATACATGAGAGGTCTGTACCACTGCAGCGACATCGGTCTAGCAACACCAGTCCAAAACTGCCCAGTCTGGACCTGCCCTAAGAGGGAGTTTCCGTAGGAGATTAGCAGCAGTAGAATAAGACTTATTGCTGGTGGGCTGTTTGCTAGAATACATAATATTTTCACATGTATCATTCTTCCCTATCAAACCTTGGAACATCACCAGCTCAGAGCCATTTCAAGGAGTGTTTTACAAAGGCATGTCCAGACCAGAGGAAGAATGAGAGCTGCCCTATTGGAAAGAGAATTTGTGAACAGGGGAAATTTGCTCATGAAGTTAGAAAGAAATTGGCAAAATAGCACCATTTATTGTGAGACACAATTTGGGCAGCAACTCCATTGCAGATACCACAGAGGCCTGTGAGAACAGGACAAAAATAACATTGTATCCTTTGTTCAAAGAGAATCTGAAAGTTGTTAAAGGCTAAAACAAAGTGGAAGCCTGAACTAACAGGAACACTTTGGAAATGGGAAAATGTGACCACCTAATGATCATCTCCGCATTGAAAAAATATCACGGACAAGCCCCAAGCCTCCGTGCCCCCCATGGCGGGTGTGTGGCCTGCGATTAATTTTTTTATGTGGGTCAGTGGCCCGTGACAGAAAAAAAGTTCCCCAACCCTGTGCTATATGATATAATGCTAAACCTTAAAAACTGGGTTTAATGGAGTGATTCATGAATGCACCACCAGGAGGCAGCAAGCAACTGATTAGCTGATTTAATTTCCTTTTAAATTCTGAATTTATAGCCCCGTGATTTATTTTTACATTTTATTTTAAATTAAAAGGAAATACAAAGGTGGTTTCCAGGTTGGTCCCAAATGCTGATTTGGTATACAGAATTCCAGATAAAGAAGAGCAAGTGGTGAAGATGCAGAAGAAAGTGGAATTATTATAAATAACTGTGCAGTCTAATAAATAACAGTAACAATATATAGGATACACACAGTCCTTTAGACATAAAAACACTTAAATTCACTAATGAAACCTCAGAACCTCCCTGCGAAGTAAGAAGGCAATTATTATTATCCCCATTATGTATATGGGGAAAATGAGGCACAGAGGGCGAGGGACTTGCCCAAGGCCACACACATCACACTGCTGCGTGGCCATGGCATCTGATACAGGCTGCATCAGTCCGCAGTGAGAAATCAAATTACCCAGGGCATCCAATACAACGGTGAATACAGAGCACTTTGTGCAAAGTACATTTTAGAGCTTTTACAATGACACCAAGTGAATGCAGTTTTCTCACAGAGTCTCTTGTGCCTGTTTATTTAAAGGTCTGTTCATTACAAACTCCAGTGGTTACATTTTATATGTCAGCTGTAAACATTTACTCCCAGCTGAAGCTTGTACCAGCCCAAGAGCAAATTTATTTACAGCATTAGACAAAAACCAGTGGGCACACTTTTGAGTTGTGGAATAAAGAGGGCATAAAACACAGACAGGTCTGGCACCCTCCTCCACTGCCATCATTCCAGAATACAATCAGAAGGATGCTGCCAATTAGTGCTGGCACAACAGGGTTGCAGGAGTTAATAAAACTTCAGCTAAATCATCCCCAACATGGGAAAAACTCTTCCATATGAGGAGAGAAAACATGGGCAGATAAGCTTGCAGAATTTCTTTCCGGTCAGATTGCCCCTTTACCAGGAAGAGGTGGGGGAAAGATTCAAACCTGCGGGATTCAAGAAGCCTATCTAAGGCTAGGTCTACACTAGAAGGTTTACCATCATAACTATACCAGCAAAACCTCCTAGTGTAGACACAGCTTATACTAGCAAAAAGTGCTTTGGCCAGTATAGCTTATTCTGATGTTACGTCACTATAACTGCGTCTACCCAAAGGCTATTTGCCAGCATGGAAAATCCGCAAATCAATCAATCAAAAATCACACCCCTAACCAACATTACTATGCTGGTAAAAGTTTCTTGTGTAGATCTGGCCTCAGACAATGTTAAGAGGGGACTAGATCACAGTCTGTAAGTACCTCCCTGGGGAGAAGATTTCTAATAGTAAAGGGTTCTTTAATCTAGCAGACAAAGGCACAGCGAGATCCGATGGCTGGAAGCTGAAGCTAGACAAATTCAGACTAGAAATAAGCCTGTTACAGTGAGGGGAACTTACAATTGGAACAACTTCCGTAGGGGCTTCTACATCACTTGGAGTCTTTAAATCAAGACTGAATGTTTTTCTAAATGACATGCTCTGGTTCAACCAGAATTTATGGGATTGATGCGCCTAGGACACGCAGTCAAAGATGAGGACCCCCCCACCCCCCACAGGGCTAGGCACACAATGAAAATGTTCCACACATGAGCTTTATGTCGACAATCTAGCACTCATTTTGCAGGGAGATGGATATGGAAATATTCTCAGGGTTTCCCCAACCACCCCACTCCAAATTGCTGTGGATGTGTGGGATCCATGATGGCTCCAGGGGAGCTGTGAACTAAAGGTTTTACATATTTTAAGCATCCAAAGTTCATTGCTGTCAGTGGAATGATTTCCAGTGACTTCAGATCCCAGAGAACAGTGAAACTATTTCGAGGCAACAATCTACTAACTACGATGTCTCTTAAGCGTCATTGTGATGAGCTGCTTGCCACTGGGTCCAAGGACTAAATATTAGCACCAAAAACCCAATAATTAGGTTTTTAAAAAAAAACAAATTGTAAAACCCCAAAAAAATAAATGATGAAAGACAATTTGAATTCCTGACTTAAACCCACAAAAATACGGAAATCCAGAGTTGCAACCAAAACACTGGGCTATTGTTCCATCCAAAATTCTATGCTTAGGAACTGCAGCCACATATGGGACATATCTTATGCAGTGCTCTGACATTCTTGCAGTGTTGGGAATCAAGTGCCAGGTGTTAGCCAGCGTGGTTGTTTAGTTTCCACTCTAGGGGAGGAAGGATGGGTTAGTTAAGATTGTGAACAGGGACCCCAGAGACCTAGATTCTGTCCCTGCTCTACTGCAGACAACTTGTGTGGCCTTGGACTAGGCTCTATACCTCATTTCCCTATCTGCAAAATGGGGATAACAGCACTTTGCTACTTCACAGGGATGTTGGGAGGAGAAATACAGAAGGACAGCGCAGGCAGGGGAGGGGAAGGAGTCCAATGGGGCCCAGCTGGAGCCATTCCAACCCCAGAACTTTACAGGAGAGCCTTCCACCCTTTGGAGGCACGAGGGTAGCCCCCTCTCCTCAGTCACGTGGCTTTTTGAAAAGAAAGGGCAGAGAGAAACCAGACGGAGACTGACACGGGCACAGCAACTGCAGAAAGCTGTTCAAACAGGGCTGATGGACACTGAAGGTGTTGTCAGACTTTTTTCTACAGACCTCACTCTGAACATTCTCCCTGCTGTGCTGATTGGCTGTTTGCTCCAGCCCCTCCCTCTCTCTGTCTCTCCATTGAGCT